TGTCTCATCTAAGACATAATCCAACCAGAGGTAATACTGATTTTCTTCTGTATTTTCTTATTAAAAAATTAAAATTTTAAATATAGGTCTTTAACCTACCTGGAACTGTTCTTTGGGTATCAGTATGATGCTGAAGGGCTAATTTTATTATTTTCTATTTGAATAGATGGTTGTCCCCCAAATCATTTATCAATGGCCCATTCTGCACCTGTTGATTTCTAAGATTACTCCTGTAATGCCTAATTTCTTCATATGCTTTGATTTAGTTTTTAAACTCTTTCGTTTGTCTCATTGCTATATGTGTCTATACCTGCATCAGTAAATGTCTTACTGTCTTAAGTGTTCTAACCCAAGATAAGCCTTTATCTGGTGGAGTGGAGCCTCTGTTGTTCTTTTAAAGAATTATGGCTATTCATGGCCACACCACATCCCCTTCAGTATGAATTTTTGAGGTCAGTTGGTCAAATTCCATGTAAAACCTGTAGGGATTTTGATCAAAATTAACATTTTCACTCATTTAGTCTTGCTGTCACATCTCTCCACTTGCTCAGGTCTTCAGTAGCCTTGAGTATCTTTCAACTTGGGGGTTAACTTATTTATATTTTAGTCTTTTTAGTAGTTTATTGAACGTATCTCAGATTTCTAAGTGGGTTTTTTTTTCTTTGCTGTGTTATTCATTCACTGTATAGATAAGGATTGGTATCTCTTAACCTTTCAGTTTATCTAGATTTCAAAAGAAAGCATAAAATTAGGCTGTATGACATGTATAAAGTTACTTTTAAGGAGTAGGAGAAACACACAATGCCATTTAGAAAGTTTTGAATTTTCTTGAAGAACAGAATTGTGTAACTAGAAAGGTAATGTGGATAATAACATCTTCTTTCGTTCTTTATTATTACTGTGGAATATCTCATTTTGTCTTTCAGCCTGTTTGATTTGAGTTGAACATAACTAAGAACAAGTTTTGATTTGGGTAAACTAAGTCAAGATTTAAAAAGAAATTTAATCCCTTACCACAAAAAAGAAATGGTAATGATGTGACATGACAGAGGTGTTAGTTAATGCTATGGTGGTAATCATTTTGTGATACATAAACAAGTGTATCAAATAAGCATGTTACCCACCTTAAACTTATACAATATTATATGTCAAATTATCTCAGTGAAACTGGAAAAAAAACAAGGAACTGTTTACATTATAGTGAGAGAAGGAGAAATATAATACTAGGACTATGGCACTAATTTTTAGCAGCAAGAGAACCACACTGTGATTAAAAATAAGTGTGCATGGCCACCACCATCCAGAACTTAGAATAGAGAGTGTTAGTAATTAAGCAATATTACTTGTAACTTCAGTTGTAAAGTACTGGAAACTATAAAGTTGCCAGGTTGCTAGTATTCATTGAACAAGTATGTGTCTGAGCATATGAATAGACAGAAAAAAACATTTAAAACAATTTTAAGTCTGAATTTGGAGGTGGTTGTTGGTAACTGGACAGGCAGCATAGCATAGTGATGGAGAAAATGGATTTTGGAACCAGAAGCTGCCTGGTTCTAATCCTGGTTCTGTCATTGCCAGTAATGAATAAGATACTTAACTATTTTCTACTCCAGTTTCCTCATCTGTAAAATGATAATAATAGGAGCACCTACTGCATAGGTTTATTATAAGGGTTCAATTAATTGATACATGTAAAGCACTTAGAAAAGTCCCTGGAACTTAGTACAAACTTCCTAAGTATTTGTTCTTATTAAGGTCATCTTAGTAATCATTATTAGAATTATCTCTAATTCTGATGATCTTACATATATTGAGAATTATGTATACAAATGACTAGTTCTATGGCTGACATACGGCAGGAACACAATAAAATGATATCTGTATTACAACTATTGTGTTCTTTTTTTCTTATCTAGTTGTTTAATTCTGTATTTGAAGAATCTTGTTTCAGAAAAAAATGGAATCATTACTGTTTTTGAAAGTATTCTATTCTGTCATCAGTATTACTTCTAAGGTTAAAGATAATTATTTTATAATAGCTGCTGTTTGTTTACTCATAATGTGCTAAACAGTGTTCCAGGTACTTTACACTTATTGTATTACTTGTAGACCTTAAAACAGTCTTCCACGGTCTCAGTAAAGGTTCAGAACAAGAAGGTATTTTGGAAAAATTCAAAAGAAATACTTTTTTTTTTTTATTTGAGGGAAATACATTTCTATTAAAGGAAAATCAGACAAAATATACTTTTAAGGCAAAAAGCCTTACAAGCCTGGAGGTAAAGAGGGCATTTCATTTTGATAAGAGATTAAATTCATCAGAAAGATATTAGTTTGTATGCACCTAATAACCTGGCCCCAAAATATGTAAGATAGAAACTAATGGAAAAATAAGGAGAAATAGACAAGTTCACAATCAGTAAAGATATACATTTAAACAAGGTTCTTAACAAACTTGATTAGTGGATTAATAGGATACTGTGTCCAACAGTTGCAAAACACTTCTTTTTGGCCACACAGTGTGGCATACAGGATCCTAGTTCCCCGACCAGGGATCCAAACTCATGCCCCTGCTTTGGGAGCATGGAGTCTTAATCACTGGACCACCAAGGAAGTCCTCAAAATTACTTTCTTTTTAAGCAAGCATGAAATATTGAAATTGAAATATGCTGGGCCATAGCAAATCTCAAGCAACTCAAAGGATTGAAATCTTACAAGGTAGGAGTCTCTGTAAGACTCCTGTGTTGGGAAACCATTTGAGATTTGTAGGCAGAAATTTAAGATGGGGCTTTCCTGGTGGCTCAGCAACCAAGAATCCACCTGCCAATGCAGGAGATATGGATTCAGTCCCTGGTCTGGGAAGATCCCACATGCCTCGGAGCACCCAGCTCCAGGTACCACAACTGTTGAGCCCGTGCTCTAGAGCCTGGGAGCTGCAGATACTGACGCCTATGCTCCACAGCGGGAGAAGCCACCTCAGTGAGAAGCGTGTGCGCTGCCTCTCGAGAGTAGCCCCGGCTCGCCACAACTAGGGGAAAGCCCTCAGAGCAGCAGAGACCCCGCACAGCCAAAAGTAAACATTTGTTAAAAAGAGCTTAAGGTGACTCTTCAAGGTTTTTCTTTCCAGTAAGATTAAGTGGTTTGGGTATAAGGATAAGAGAAAGTGATTAGTTGACTAACAAGAATGAAGTCCCAGGTGACCACACCAAGGAAGCCAGAGGTAGGGGAGCTAAGGAAGTTTACAGGGATGTTGAATATTGAATCCTGGAGTCTAAGCTGAGCAAGAAGAGAAGTGAGGATATGATGAGCATGATGGATGGTGGGACAGTGGAAAGATTAATGGGTGGGAGAGAAGTATTAATGAAATGAATTGCTGGATAGCATGAACTGGAAGAATAGAAAGTGGTGGTCAATTATTGGCATGCTTAAAATCAAGATTTTGGAGATGATGCAGCTGCTGGGCCAGATAAGCAGAGCGATGACCACAGAATGGGAAGCTCGAGTGGAATGTTGAACCTGATTGTGACGAGGAGACCTGAAACGCCAGTGCTAGATGAGTCACCCACATGATTACTGACCGTAACCAGGAGCAGCTTGAGAGTAGAGTGGACCATAGCAAGCTTTTGAAGTTGAAGAGTGAGGGAGTAGATGGCATAAACAGGGTAGGAGAGTAAATGATGAAGTCTGATTGCAAGAAATTAAAATATGTTCAGGTTTTTGAAGGAAAAGAGGAAAGGGGTTTAGAACCAAGGAGAATATTGTCCATTTACAGGAAATGTTGGAAGAAAAGTAGCAATCTCCAAGTGAAAGGGCTTCCAGGGACAGCCAAGTTTCAAGTTAGGGAACTGAAGGGGAACCTTTCAGGGAGAAGGTTGAAGAATAGAGACATTTTCACTCAGTAAAAATTAGCCATTACCATCATTTACATCGTCACCATCATCATTATTCATATTAAGTTTTGTGTTTAGCTCTTGTGCAGTGCTGTTCTTCTGGATACTTCAGTAAACTTTATACTATTATATTGATATGTCATTTAGTATTCATTAAATTTATTTTTTTCTGTAAAAGTTTGGATACCAAGGGTATAATAATGAATATCAAAATATTCATTATCCTATCATACATATTGTTTAATTTCATTTGTGGAATAACTGCCATATGCCAGGCTCTTACCTATTGCAAGAAATACAAAGACATATAAGATACGACACCTCAAAAGAGTATGGATCAGTGAGCTCACCAGTTATAACGTGTGTGTGTGTGTGCGCGCTTTCTTACACACCCAGTCTGAAAGATTTTATACACACATCCTCACCCTGTTAGCAGTGATGGTCGTCTCGAAGACAGGAAGGCAGTGGAAGAGGCAAGATATTAAGGGGAGCTTTGCATTTTTAGCCTGTGTCCTTTGACTCTTCTATTAAAATTAATCGATGCAGGACCTCCCTTGGGGTCCAGTGGTTAAGAATCTGCCTGCCAAAGCAGGGGACGCAGGTTCCATCTTCCCTGGTCCAGGAAGATGCCGTGTGGCGCCGGGCAGTTGAGCCCGTTGGCACGACTGCTGAGACCCGAGCACCCTAGAGCCTGTGCTCTGCGAGGAAAGCTGCCACAGTGAGGAGTGCACGCTCCAGCCACTGAAGAGGAGCCCTGCTTGCCTCAACTAGAGAAAGTCCTCACGCAGCAATAAAGACCCAGAGCAATAACAGATAAATAAGATTTAAAAACACAAGAAGCTGTGCTTTATTAAAAATGCATTTATATAGTTTGTTTATTAAAAATAAGAAAAGTTTTAGAAGCTACAGTTTTTCTTTGTAGTAGTTAAAAGAAAAAGTTGTGGGGACTTCCCTGGTGATCCAGTGGTTAAGACACCATGCTTCCACTGCAGGGGGCACAGGTTCCATCCCTGGCCAGGGAACTGATCCCACATGCTGTGTAGCACAGCCAAAAAAAAAAAAAAGCGGAGAAATTGTGTTTTTTAAGCCTAAGTCTTTGTCTGTTGTTTCTAGGCAGGGATCCCAATGGGACCAATACCAGCGGGAGGAATGCCTTACCTGGGGCAAGCACCATTCCTGGGAATGCGTCCTCCAGGCCCACAGTACACTCCAGACATGCAGAAGCAGTTTGCCGAAGAGCAGCAGTAAGAAACCGCAGGGTGCAAGGATAAAGATGCATGATAGCAATTAAGTTTAAAATGGTCAAATAATGTGTAGTGCAGATTTGAAGAGGAAATGATCACAGTGCCCTTAAAGCTCTTTAAAATGCTCTTATTACGTAAAAGTTTAAAGCCAGAAGGGACCTTAGAGATCCTAGAATTCAACCCACTGACGTTAGCGTCTGGGGAAAATGAAGTCCAAAGAAACAAGCAACTTGTCAGCCCAGGCTGCACAGTTACTGGAAAAATCTGGACCCAAGCGCAGGCCTCCTGGCTGCCAGAGCCATTGCTCTGCCTCCCCAAGTAGAAGTTCCTTTTTTGTATGCAGAGCAGAGAGTGTGTTTACTTTGTCTAGCTCCCTGTGTGTTTATATATACTTTGAATGTAGAATGTTTCCTACTGTTGCAAATTAGACAAGAAATAAGTTCACATCTATAATTTAGGTGAATCATCTTTTAGACTTATTTCATATATTTGGAAATTAATATAGTGGAGACATAGGATTATCTTTAGAAAATTAGATACAATCATCAGTGAAGTTTTTAGTTCTAGAAATGCAAGATGACATTGCTGAAACTGTTAGTAGAAGAAGTGTGACTCTTAACAGTTAATAATCCTGAAGCTGGCTCTTTACTGGTGGTTTTTCCTTCAGAAAACGATTTGAACAGCAGCAAAAGCTCTTAGAAGAAGAAAGAAAACGACGCCAGTTTGAAGAGCAGAAGCAAAAGCTCAGACTTCTGAGTAGCGTGAAACCCAAGGTAACGTACTCCACCCCACAGCACAGCCCCTGCGCGCACCTCTTCTCACTCATTCAGTGGGTTTCATCACCGGGACACCAGCCCAGGCAGTAGGTGTGTTTGATTGATTTTCCTTTTGTCTTAAGCCCAAAAGTGAAGGACTTTTCTTTTTCTGTGAAGAGACTTTATTGTTGAAGGGAATGAGATGTCAGTCATTATCTTCTCTACCTGTGTGTACTCCCTTTGGAGTGCTTATAACCTTTTCTTGGGAAGCATTAACACTGGAGACTTAATGTCGAACACCTATACCCTAAAGCAGGGGTCCCCAGCCTTTGGGATCTAATTCCTGATGATCTGAAGTGGAGCTGATGTGCTAGAAATAAAGTGCATAATAAATGTCACGTGCTTGAATTATCCTAAAACAGTCTCCGCCTTCCCCATTGCCCCACCCCTCACACCTCCCATCCCCGTCCCCGTCTGTGGAGAAATTGTCTTCCACAAACCGGCCCCTGGTGCCAAAAAGGTTGGGGACCCCTGCCCTAATGTATTTTTAAATGGACCTCTTAATAATATTCTATGGAATATTGTTTTGTTTTGCTGTGTGTCAATGTTTTTCTGACTTGGAGAATTCACTGCCTGACGTATGTCGTAAAAGTATTGGAAATAGTTGAATATCCACAGTTCTCTTTCAACTTGTGTGGATTTAGGACAAAGTGTGGCAGTAAGTGAAGAAATGCATATACATTTATTGTCTCTCAGACAGGAGAGAAGAGTAGAGATGACGCTTTGGAAGCCATAAAAGGAAACTTAGATGGGTTTTCCAGAGATGCTAAAATGCACCCTACTCCAGCATCACACCCTAAGAAACCAGGTAGTTTTAATTTTAATTTTCTTTTGATGGAAGATGATTGAAGTCCTTGTGGTTTTGATTGACCGGTGTGTGTGTGTGTGTGTGGAGAGTGAGTGTTAAATTCTTCCTTCAAGCTAAGTACGTTTAGATGTTTTAAAATTTATAGTGGATTAAGAGCTCTGGTCTCAATAACTGTCTTGGGAGGGAAAAATCTCTTGTTTTCTAGTAAATGTCAGTATGTCAATTTTACTTGTAAATCTTCTGTATGAATGAGTATGTTAACATTAGTAAAATTCATTCAGTCAAAACAAATGTAGTAAATGAGTTTACTATTGCATTCTTATTAATTTAAACTAATTTTACTTTTTATGAACTAGTGAACTAGTTTAGGTTTTACTCAATGTGATTAAACTTACAAATTTTATCAATGATTCTTTTTAAAAAGTCATGGATTTAATAATTTTCTTGTGAAATTTTAGTTTTTTCTTTGTAGAAATGAAACTACATTTCTTTGTAGTTTTTAATTTTACTTCATTATTTTTTATATTCCTTTGATTATGTCATCAAATAAGCAAAGGAAAAGTGCCTGATAAAGCAGAGTGAAGGAAATTCGCGGAGGGCAGGATTGCACGGGTGTTAAACATGTAGCAGTTGAAATGAATCTTATCTTCACATAGCTGTTACCACATCCTTTTTAAAAATTTGATATTTTGACATTTTATTCTCAGCTAATTTCAAGATTAACATACCATTAATGGGTGAATAGTTTTCATAAATAATTCAGCTAAATACTATTTTTTCCTAGCATATATCACATTGACAAATTTTATCTTAAACCTTTATAGTGAGTGTCTTTTATAGGTGATATCAGGAAGAAATAATCTAATGTTGGCACAGTAATGAGTTCTTGACTTTCTGGGAGAGCTTTGCCTCACTCTGTTAATTTCACTTGTTAGATTATATACTCAGGTTATCATTACAAAAAATGTGCCCCAAAGTAAAATATATACTGAGATTGAAAAGGGAATGGATATTAGTGATCAGAATGAGTTCAGAAAGGAAAAGCATACCTCAAGGTGAAAATTAGAAGCTGAATAAATAAGCTAGTCAGTAAATCACTGAAGTCTAGTCATTGGAATGGTAAAACTGGACCCAGCGTGGAGCTTAGAAAAAGGAGAAGAAAGCAGAGAGGGATGGTCATTGTCAGGTCACATACTGTTCTAGCCATATAGAATGCCTCATTTGGGCAACCAAGTATAGTTTAACAACCTCACAGGTTAAATAATAAATTGGGGTTTTGATGTTCAGCTAATCTCTTGAGTTCATTCAGCATGCATGCAGTTAGCTGTTTCTAGTTAACTGCTTCATGCTTAGCTAGAAAAATACTTTTTTCTGAAGCAAACCCAAGGAATTACCAGAGCTTCTCCAGCTAGAATCTTAAACCTAGGCCTAAAGCACCTAAAGAGTTTCCAGCCTTTTTCCACTAAAGACATCTTTTAACTTTCGCCCATAGACTGTTTATCTTAAAATAGTGGATATACAAACTGATCACGTAATTTTTATACTTCTTATTAATCATATATATAGATAGCTATGAGTTTTTAAGCCAAAATATATACCACATAGAATTAAAATAATTCCAGTCAAATGCAAAGAAATATTGGTATAGCCTAAAAAAAAATTGGTTTAGCCCAAATAGGATCCATCTAAACGTATTCATAGTAGCTCTCAGTTTTCCATTATTGCTATTTTCTACCAGTAATGGTCAGAGAACTGAAACTAAGAACTTAAGTACACACTCTCAGACATTCTCAGTAACCATTATTGGGAGGGTTGGGATTCATTATGACATGGCTTTTTTATTTTTTATTCATTTTTTTATAGTTCTATTGCATTTTTCATAGAACTTTAATGCTTCCAAGTTTTATTTCATGGATCCAAAAGAGAAACACATAATGTCCCCATTTTTCAAATGAGGGCTTTATTAAAAAAAAAAAAAAGACTGCTCCTTGTGACATTAGACTTTAGTATTAATAAATTTTATAGCAATTCAAAGTTTGCAGTGTGAAGAAGCAACAGTAGTATATTGTGAATGAGCCTTGTATTAAACTTAATCCCTGTAGAGAGGTTTATTACATAAGTGAATCTCATATTTGACAGTAAAAAGCCATGGTGACGTTTGCATCTTTTAGAGGCAGAGTTCTTTTGAACATAGCTCTTAGCTAGGGTTTATTTTTTTAAATTGGCTTCTAAGTTGTTTGACTTAACACTTTATGGTGTCTTAATTCTGGTGCTTTTCACAAGAAAGTATCCCTTTGGTAATGTGTTTGATGTTCTTGTTGCCCCTGTAATTTTCATTCCCTGTTCATTCCCTACATAGTAGCTTTCATCCTCATATGAAATATGAACTATGCTAAGTGTACCAATTAGGCATGATTTATCAAAAATTATAAGTATGTGTCATGCATTGTTTTTTACTGGCCTAATGAAGTTTAGTCATCAACATATATCTCTAAAATGTATTCAGCAGCATGTAGGTAGATTTTCTTATCTCTACTGGTTTGAGAAAATATTATCCAGATAAACAGATGAGTTGAGTTTCAAAAGTAATCACCACTTTGATGTAAATTACTCGTGGTCTCAAGGAAAAAAACTAGTGCTAGTCTAATGAAGGAAAGAAACTTTGAATTTTACAGTTTTCTGCTTTTGAACCAAATGCAAAATAGCTATAAAACCTCTTTTTTAAAAAGACCAAAAAGTTATTTATAGATAGACGTTAAAATGTTTTGCATTCACTGTATGATTCCGTTTGACTGCTCTTACATGTTATTTCTTAGCCACCTCCACTGTTCATGTTTCAGTATATTCTTTTGGAGCCGTACTACATCTCAGTTTCTTTTCCCCTGTTAATTTTCATTTCTGTGTGTTTCATTGCCATTTTCCGTTTTGCAGATTATCCCACATCATCTCATTCTACTAAAACTGTCTCCCCGTCACCTGCCTTTCTTGATGAAGAAGCGTTCAGTGACTTTATGCAGGGACCTCTGGAAGCTCCCACATGTGGGCCTCCCTCCACTCCCCAGCCTTTCCAGCCTTTCCGCCCCACCACCCCGTTTGGCCAGGTGCATGTACGGAAGGCTGGCGCTCGGCCTCTCCCTCCAGCTCAGAGTCCGCTGTCTGGCGCCCTACATGGCGTCCCCGGGCAGATCCCTTGCCTCTTTACCACTTCGGCCTCTCACAGTGTGCAGGAAACAGGTAACTCCTAAGCTCTCAATGAGAGTATTTTGAAAAATCTAGGAAAATTTATTTCACTTACATAAGTAGAATAATACAGTGATGTTGGCAAAGAAACATGGGCCTGAATATGTGAGTACTATTGAAATTCACCAAAATAAGACTCTAGATAAGAATCTAGTTTTTTTTTTTTAAATCTGGGGACCTCACATTCTGAAAAAGTGATTTGAAACTTCTTTTGCTAAATTTGGGACCTATTTTTTATTATTATTTTTTAAATTACGACAGTAAGCTAACACATTTACAGGAGACTTGGAAAGTATAGAAAAAAGTTACATACATTTCCACTAAATATTACAATTATTTTTAAGTAAATTAAGATTTTTTGTTAAAATTTCAGTATCAAGCTCTCAAAAATTAATAGAATGAATGGAGAGAAAAATAGAGGTATATAGTAGACCTGAAAAGCACTGTGAACCAATTCAACAATTAAGATTTATACGGTTTTCATACAACAGCAGCATACAAACTCTGTTCGTATTTCCTGAACTGTAAATCAGGAGACATTGGAACATATCCAGGGACATAAAGCAAGGTAAAAAAAAAACAAGGTGCAAAAATTTCATGGTCTAAAGGTATTGAAAGGATAAAGAGTCTGTTCTCTTTATCACTGTGAAATTAGAAATCGATACCAAAAGTCATTTGAAAATAACCCACGTATTTTCAAGTGCACTGTGACATTTACCAAAACTCAGCCTTTGAAAGCCTCAATAAAGTTAAAGACTGAAAAAACACAGAGGCTGATTGCAGAGAAGAAACATTTAAATGAGAAGTTAATATCAAAATGAGAATATCAAAGATTACTTAAAAAACCCCACGGGCCTTAGGAAGCATGACTACGAACAAAGCTAGTGGAGGTGATGGAATTCCAGTTGAGCTATTTCAAATCCTGAAAGACAATGCTGTGAAAGTGCTGCACTCAGTACGCCAGCAAATTTGGAAAACTCAGCAGTGGCCACAGGACTGGAAAAGATCAGTTTCCATTCTAATCACAAAGAAAGGCAATGCCTAAGAATGCTCAAACTACCGCACAATTGCACTCATCTTACATGCTTATAAAGTAATGCTTAAAATTCTCCAAGCCAGGCTTCAGCAATACGTGAACTGTGAACTTCCAGATGTTCAAGCTGGTTTTAGAAAAGGCAGAGGAACCAAATTGCCAACATCTGCTGGATCATCGAAAAAGCAAGAGAGTTCCAGAAAAACATCTATTTCTGCTTTATTGACTATGCGAAAGCCTTTGACTGTGTGGATCACAATAAACTGTGGATAATTCTGAAAGAGATGGGCATACCAGACCACCTGACCTGCCTCTTGAGAAACCTGTATGCAGGTCAGGAAGCAACAGTTAGAACTGGACATGGAACAATAGGCTGGTTCCAAATAGGAAAAAAGAGTACATCCAAGGCTGTATATTGTCACCCTGCTTATTTAACTTATATGCAGAGTACATCATGAGAAACGCTGGGCTGGAGGAAGCACAAGCTGGAATCAAGACTGCTGGGAGAAATATCAATAACCTCAGATATGCAGATGACATCACCCTTATGGCAGAAAGTGAAGAAGAACTAAAGAGCCTCTTGATGAAAGTGAAAGAGGAGAGTGAAAAAGTTGGCTTAAAGCTCAACATTTAGAAAACTAAGATCATGGCATCTGGTCCCATCACTTCTTGGCAAATAGATGGGAGAAGAGTGTCAGACTTTATTTTTGGGGGCTCCAAAATCACTGCAGATGGTGATTGCAGCTATGAAATTAAAAGACTCTTACTCCTTGGAAGGAAAGTTATGACCAACCTAGACAGCACATTAAAAAGCAGAGACATTACTTTGCCAGCAAAGATCCGTCTAGTCAAGGTTTTGGTTTTTCCAGTGGTCATGTATGGATGTGAGAGTTGGACTATAAAGAAAGCTGAGCATCAAAGAATTGATGCTTTTGAACTGTGGTGTTGGAGAAGACTCTTGAGAGTCCCTTGGACTGCAAGGAGATCCAACCAGTCCATCCTAAAGGAGATCAGTCCTGGGTGTTCATTGGAAGGACTGATGTTGAAGCTGAAACTCATACTTTGGCCACTTCATGGGAAGAGCTGACTCATTGGAAAAGACCCTGATGCTGGGAAAGATTGAGGCTAGGAGGAGAAGGGGATGACAGAGGATGAGATGGCTGGATGGCATCACTGACTCTATGGACATGGGTTTGGGTGGACTCTGGGAGTTGGTGATGGACAGGGAGGCCTGGCATGCTGCAGTTCATGGGGTCACAAAGAGTCGGACATGACTGAGCAACTTAACTATATTTAGAAATTAAATGCCCACTTTTAAACGATAGGTATATCTAAGAAGTTAGGATCGATTTAAGCCACCTTAGAACTTTAAGAACAAGCTGATTTCTTCAGAAGGTGACTCTTGTTTGGGGAAATACCCACGATCATTTTCTTAAGAGTGATGAGCCAGGAAAAGCTGCTTTAGAAAGTGCTCTCTGGTTCAGTGATAAAGCACATGGGGGTTCAGAAGCCCAGGGTCTCCATTTACTATCAGTTTGTCCTTGGACAAATCTTTGAACATTTCTGTACCTCGGTTTTAATCACATGTGTGAGCGAGGGGTGAGGTGGGCAGTTACTCTGTCTTGAGATTTAGAATAGTGCTGAGAGGGCTCTTAGCTGACATGTTCTTGTCCACACTTTCTCAATTGACAGATGCAGAAATAGGCAATAGTCTGTAGAAGTGTCTGTATCTTGTGTAGGTCACCAAATTTCTAAGGTAATACATCTTCCACTATGCTATTCTACCTACTGTCTCACAGAATTCCTGAGAATCCAAGAAGGTAATGATGGTAAAGTTCTCTAAAATCACTGAAGTATCTCAGGTCCTGGACAAACACGTGGGCTTGAATTATTTCAAAATTTACATTATATGTGGCAGGGCCTTCCCTTTAGAATCTGGGGGTGGAAATGGATGGTTGAAAAATTAGAAGCTTGCAATAATATACAAATAATCCTTCATGCTGTTTGTTTAGGCTCTTCCTTGGAGGAGAAGCTCCTAGTATCTTGTGACTTAAGTACATCTGGGCAGGAACAGATTAAATTAAATACCTCTGAAGTTGGGCACAAAGCCCTAGGCCGAGGTTCCAGAAAGAACCATCCCAGGTTAATGGCCAGTAATGGGGGTGCTGTAGAAGGACGTGTAAGTGGTACCACTACCGCAGAGGCAGAAAAGACTTCAGACCAAAACCTGTCCATTGAAGAGAGTGGTGAGCTCATGAAATTTTCAGCAAAAAGTTCATTTAACTAAATGTCGCTCAAATGCTAACACCTTAAGCGTTAATCTTAAAATGAATGCTGCTTGATTTTGCTAATTGAAATTTTGCTTAAAATATATGTAATGCATTCTCTTCTGTAATTAACCCCTATGATTTTGCTCTGAATTCTTTCAAGACACTGTTACTCCTTTTGAAAAAATTTTTGATAACCAGTTTTTTAATCAAAAGCATTCCTGATTTAAAATTTCTTCTTTTACTTTATAAAAACTTTTTCCCCTCTTAACCTTTCTTTTCTTCCTTAAGGTTGAAAAGTTAAAATTTAACTGGAAAAGTCACCAATGAGAATATAGTTTTGCTTCTTTGAAATAAACCATACACACTGCTGCCTGAAGATCCACATTTTTGTAAACTCAACTTGTAGAGATGAATGTGGACAACCCGGGAGGCAAACTTTTGGAGGCTGCTTACAGGACAAAGTGAAAAACAAAAAATTTAAATAAAAATGCTATATATCTGAGGCAGCAGTATCATATTCAAGATTTTAAAACATAAGACTTTGCAAAGAAACATTATTAAAAGCTGCAAGTGAAGCTTGGGCAATTTTTTTTTGTACACGTAATTTTTAAACCATTGCCTATCATGTTTCTGCCTTTAATTTTGTAATATATGTAAATGGCACAAGCCTCATGTGGTCCAGAGTATTGATTTGGTACATTTAGGGTTTTTTGTTTTCTTTTGTTTGTTTTATGTTTTTAGTTTATGCCTTAGGACATGGTTAATGTACAAGAGTTGCTTAGAAACCAAATTTTAGTTGAATTGGTGACTTTTTTTTAGTATCTCCAGCCAGCACTCTTCTCATAAAAAGCCATGACTCAGTGTGATTTCTGCTTCTGTTGCATGGATCATTATATACATTAGGTGATGTTCTTTATCTCCTAGGTGTAGGAGTATTTCCCTCACAGGATCCTGTTCAGCCCAGAATGCCTCCTTGGATTTACAATGAGAGTTTGGTTCCAGGTAAAAAGAGCTTTTTTGCCCAAGATTCCTATCTGGATACTTTACTTCAAATGTTGTAATGTAGTTGTAAGTGTTTACTATTTAGTGGCTACAGAATATGCAGAAGAAATTGTAACTATTTTTTCTGAAAGAGTACAGAAAATTAAATACAGCTAGTGTTTATGACTGCCTCATATATGAAATAACTACATAAATGAAGTCTTTTGCTGTAATGTTTTAATGACCATCATATAACTTTTATTTCTAAAAGGTTGTCTTAGATTTACTATGTCTTAAAAGACACTATCAAAATATAGCATCACCAACTCAGTGGACATGGATTAGAGCGAACTCTGGGAGATAGTGAAGAACAGGGAATCCTGGTGTGCTGCAGTCCACAAGGTCGCAGAGTCAGACATGACTTAGCAACTGAAGCTTTTAAACACACACATAATTTCCTAGTGGACTTCCCTGGTGGTCCAGTGGTTAAGAATCTGCCTGCCAATGCAGGGGACATGGGTTCCATCCCTGGTCTGGGAGGATCCCACATGCCGCAGAGCAGCTAAGCCCGTGAGCCACAACTGCTGAAGCCCGCATGCCCTAGAACCCATGTTCCGCAGCAGAAGAAGCCACCGCAGTAAGAAATCTGCCTACAGGAGTGAAAACCCGGGACAGCCAAATAAATAAATACAAACTTAAAAAACATATGTTCGTATGGTACGCCTACTAACCTTTAATCCGTATGTAATGCTATATGTAAAATTTCTTTTTAAACATTTTTCTCTGTCTACCTTAACCCTACTTTCATCCATCAACTCTTCTAACTAGGGTTGCCAGATTCATCAAATTTGCATACAGAACATCCAGTTAAATTTGAATTTTATATAAACAGCAAATAATTGTTTAGAATAAGCATACCCCATTCAATATTGTCATCCTGTATTTATACAGCAACCCTACCCCTAACAGTTTCTCCCATTTTGTCCTTGGAAAGTCCATTTTATTGTGAAAGACTCCCCAGTGAACCCTTCCTTTTCTCAAACACTTACTCTCCTCTCTCACTTCAACTGTAACTGTGTCTTCCTCTGAAGGCTCTGTTCCCAAACACCTTACCCAATAATGTTTTCTCTAATAGCCTCTGATTCACTGGGACAAGAGAAAGGTGATATGGGTATAATTTGTGCTTCCCACTGCTATTAATTGCAGATTAGTTCCACCATCATTACTCTACAACTTCTTTTTTAAAATCCAAAGCATCTGCTTATACCACCTCTGTCTTAACTGCTGTTACTGTCTCCTAGTGAGAAGACTCTTACCTTCAACCCAAAATCTTCATCTGTAGAACCAAGCTCCAGCCTCTCTTCTAAGCTCCAGACCCTAATTGTCTGCTGGACATTTCCACTTGAATATCTTTATAGCAACTCAAGTCCTTGATGTGGCTTCAGTTCTGTTAAAGCAGTTTGACTTAGGATTATTCATGTATAAGCATCAATGACAACAAAAAAGGTGAATTATTTGCAATATGTTTACATTTGTAATCTGGTCTTTCCTTTAATAGATGCCTATAAGAAAATTTTAGAAACCACAATGACTCCAACTGGAATAGACACTGCTAAACTTTATCCCATCCTGATGTCATCTGGACTTCCCAGGGAGACTCTTGGACAGATATGGGCCTTAGCTAATCGAACCACACCTGGAAAACTGACTAAAGAAGAACTTTATACCGTTCTTGCCATGATAGCAGTAACACAGGTAGACATTCTTTCAAAGGTTAGGTTTATACTTTCAATATAAACTGAGAGAATATAAATCCTTTTTTCTACAACTTACAGAACTCTTTGGACGTTAAAATTTAGGTTATTTTCAGGATAGAGTTCTTCAGAATGTACAGTTTATATGATATGCATGCTAGCACAATACTCTTTTGTTTAAAGACTTTAATATATTAAAATTCTCTGACCTAACTGTAATCCTTTTGAGCTTGAAAGTTAGTAATAGATGAAGTTACTCTCTCTGTCCTTTGAAGTCCTTATCTAAAATTCCTTAGATATAAAGTGTACTTGGCCTGGCAGCCGTTTTTCTCATATTACAAAATCATTGTAAAGGATTTGATTAGAGTGAATTAACCAAACTGGTCAGAGAGTGAAAATGTCAGAATGAGTGTGTGTTGGCCATTTCTTTGCTAAGTATTAGATTTACATTAACCTTATAACTTATTTTCTTGTGTCAAATTCCTGAGTTTGGGAAGAGTCAGGAGTAGAACACCTCAGGCCACAGATTTTACATTTAGGTCTCTGTGTCAGATTTGAGCTGTATGTCGTTTGCAGTTTCCTGAATTGTTCCCATTTTCCTCGTGTTCTGTGTAGAGGGGTGTTCCTGCCATGAGTCCCGATGCTTTAAATCAGTTTCCAGCGGCTCCTGTGCCAACGTTAAGTGGCTTTCCTGTGACTTTGCCAGCTGCTGTGAGTCAGCCCACAGGGATGCCGTCCGGCCCTGCAGGGCCCATGCCCCTCACCCTCGGCCAGCCAGTCATGGGCATTAACCTTGTTGGGCCAGTCGGGGGAGCTGCAGCCCAGACTTCCAGCGGCTTCATGTCCCCTTACCCTGCAAATCAGGTAGATGAAGAGGCTGTGTGTATTCCAAGTTATTTCTGAAAGTGAATCTGAGCAAGTGTGTTTTCCAAGAAATATAGAAAAGATTGCTGGATTATGATGGACACTGGCAGTGGAAATTAAGCAGTGTTAAAACAATACAACATTGAATTTTTCATTATTTAAAAAGCAAAAGAATTTCTGAAGCCTTCAGATACTTGAATTTTGGCTAAAAATGTGTAGTTCTTTATCATGTATATTTTAAACATCAAGTTTAATAAAGCTAGTTAAATCCTTAAGCTGTTTTTTGAAAAAGCTACTAAGCCTGATTAAGATGTTTCAGTTTATTTTTCATTTCTCAGTTTAGCAAAAAAGATTTTTAAACATATATTTATTTAGTGTTAGTAAAAATGTGGGAAAAAGGATTTTTTGGTACAGCCTTTTTGGAAGGCACGTTTGGCAATAGCTATCAAAATTCTAAATATTCATGTCTTCTGACCCAGCAGTCATGCTATTAGGAATCCATCTCACAGAGCTAGTAACTCAAATGAGCAAAAATATATAAGAATACTTGTAGCATTGTTTGTTAGAGTGAAAATTAAGAATAGCTGCATATCTATAAATCAGAAGAAAAATGTTAAATAAGTTTTGGCTTATCTCTACATTGGTAAACTATTGGATTATTCAGATGAATGTGGTGTATGCACATATACTGCATGAAAAAGATGTCCGTGTTAAATAATTTCATTTAAGTGCGAAACAACATAGTATAAGCTTGTTTTTCAATAAAACAAATGAACTGTTAACAGTGTTCACTTCCTAGAGCATGGGATTATGAGTCAGTGTTCACAGTTTATACGTGTATGTGATAGATTAAAACAGGCTTATATCACTGTATCATATACAAATGTGATTTAACTGTTTCATAAAGATGGCAGTTTCTCAATCTATTAAATGTGATTCAGCTATTTAAAAATTATATAAATTAAGTTTAAAACAGCCTTTTACCATTTTTACAAGAGTATTTATAAGTACTAAGCAGCATTCCTGCCTTAAGCAGTTGAGCTGATGTTATGTCTAAAGGATATTTTTCTGAAATTAGATATTTATACTGAAATGGGAGCATTTTAAAAGGTTGTCTTTGAGGTTGATGGTTAAAGATTTGTTATTTAGCTTTTTATTATTGGATGTTTTCTGTTTCAATGTCCTCTGTAAACCTAGGTGGTCAAACCAGAAGATGACGATTTTCAGGATTTTCAAGATGCTTCCAAGTCGGGGTCACTTGATGACTCATTCAGTGATTTCCAAGAGTTGCCGGCTTCTTCAAAATCAAGTAATTCTCAGCATGGAAACAGGTAAAAAAGAGTTGCATATCGTTAATATAGTATTTATTAATTGAGAAAGAGGCAGTCCACAATAAGAAGCCTAAGTATAAATAAAAGAATTATGACTCCTTAGTCTCATGATTTCTAGATGATCCCCACTTTTATTCATACTTTTGTTCTCCAAACTTCTCTCCCCCTCGTCCACCTCCAGCTTCTACCGTTCCTCCCAGTATACCCCTACTTGACAGTATTTCTTTCTACTTGTGCTAAACCTGATTTATTACAACTGAGTGTATTTGTGCAAGGATGACTTCGTATTCTTATACTAGATTCAGGTCTTCAACTGCTGAAATGCTTTATAGACAGGGGTACATATTTTAACATGTTGCAATATAGTATATATTATTGCTAATCTATACTTTATACTAATACAGTATTGCATACTATCCACGGAAATCATTTAGAAATTGAAATGAATATATATTTCAAAATGAAATATGAATAGACATGAAATATAAAAATTCATGTCTCTCTATGTTTAAGTTGAAATCAATGGCTTTTAGGCCTTGAGATTTCTGTTTTGCATGAAAATGTTAGTTGCTCAATTGTGTCTGACTCTTTGTGACCCAGTAGACTGTAGCCTGCCATGCTCCTGTGTCCTTGGGATTCTCCAGGCAAGAATACTGGAGTGAGTAGCCATTCGCTTCTTCAGGGGATCTTTCTGACCCAGGGATCGAACCCAGGTCTCCTGCATTGTAGGCAGATTCTTTACCATCTGAGCCACAGTTGCATAAATGTTTTTCTAATGTTTTATGTACTAGCTTAACTTTTAGGCACAGTAACTGATTCAGGATGTGGTCAACACCTTTCCATCTTTTTTTAAGACTTTTTTTGTTTGTTTGTTATGGACCATTCTAAAAGTCTTTATTCCGTTTGTTACAACATTTCTTCTGTTTTATGCCTTTGTTTTTCGGCCACAAGGCATGTAGGATCTTGGCTCCCCGACCAGGGATTGAGCTCCACCTCCTGCATTGGAGGGCAAAGTCTTAACCACTGACAGGCCAAGGAGTTCCCTCCATTATTTTTTAAAAATTTATTTACTTATTTTTGGCTTTGCTGGATCTTCATTGCTTCATGCGGGCTTTCTCTAGTTGCAGTGCTTGAGCTTCTCATTGTGGTGGCTTCTCTTGTGGAGCACGGGCTCTCGGGCACAAGGGCTTCAGTAGTTGTGATGCATGGGCTTAGTTGCCCAGAGACATAGGATCTTCGTTTCCTGACTAGGAATCGAACCCATGTCCTCTGCATTGGCAGGCAGATTCTTAACCACTGGACCACCAGGGAAGTCCCTCCATCATCTTTTAAAAGTATTCATTAATAAATACTTTTTCCACCGAGTAGCACATATGAGGCTTTGAGTAAGCAGTGTAAATTTCTTTGGTTGTTTTGGGAACTTGTTTTTGTCATGATACATACTCCCTTTCTCTTATACTCCTGTTTGTGCAATTTCACTTATCTTTTCTCTTTTAACCAATTGATTATCTCTTAGTCAGCACTTCCTGCAGACACTATAAGAAGAACTTAGGGATAGGCATTATAGAGAATTACAAATTAGGGAAAGAATTATTTTCCTAATTTTTAGACTACATCAAACACTTGTAAATGACACATAGAAGAAACATATGAGTGATGTGACTATAAAGTACTGGGAGTTCCAAGCCACACACGTATTATTAAACACGTATTATTATGGTAAACACATAATCCTTCTTTCTCAGGTCTCTTCCTGTGCACAAATTTATTTATATATATATATATTTAATATATATTTATTTGGCTCTGCCAGATCTTAGTTGTGACATGTGGAATCTTTAGTTGTAACTTGTGGGATCTAGTTCCCTGACCAGGGATCAAACCTGGGCCCTCTGCATTGGGAACTTGGAGTCCTAGCCACTGGACCACCAGAGAAATCCCACAGATTTGATCTGTTCTGCTCTTGTCTAGAACATGTCTGAACACCCAAGGCATCTCAAATTATCTGCATAAAACAATTCATTATAAAGCTAAATAAAAATTTGTTAAATCACATATCCAGTCACCTAATCAGAAACATGTTGTTTTTGACCCCCTCCTTGCTCCTGCTCAGTGTGGGAAAAGGCCCTGTGTGACCTGGCTTCTGCCAGCCCTCTTGACTGTTGCTGTTTCCCCACAGCTTATCTCCAGCCACACCTAAACCGCCAAACTGACCATGCTCTCTCAAGCTTCTGGCCTTTTACATCCTGTTTTCTTCCATCTGAAGCTCTCTCTAAAGTTAATTCTAGTTCCATGTCAAAAATCGATTTAATTCAGGAAGGTTTTACTAACCCTTCTCCATCAGTCCCTACCTCCAAGATGAGTTCAGGGTGTCTCCTCCTCTATTGCCATGGCAGCTTGTGAATATCTGTTCCCTAACTGCCATTATTGGTTTACCTGACTATTCCCCCTCCCTCGGCTGTAGGTGCCTGACGACAGGATTTCATGTGTATGTACGTATTACTTGGCCCACTATATGTAGTTCATAAAGGTTTGTTGGATGAATATATTGTAGTATGGAGGTTACAAACTGAATTTATCTAATTGATGATTCGTTCCTCTGGGAGAAAACTCTTCAGCAGATGAAATTGAAATTTGAGCATAGAAAGTTTTAAGATGGTACCCTGACTTGAACTACTTAGTAGGGTACTGGCAGTTTTGTGTGGCATTATCTCCATGTAATAGTTTACTGTCATGTATAGTCATACTTTGCAGGTTTTTCTTCTTCAATTCTGGCTTGACTACTACTATGCTTTCCTTGTATGAAAACATTTGTTTATGTCTAAGAATTCACACTCAGTGTTTGTTTATTCATTCAGACACATTTACATAGCATCTGCTGTGTGCCAGACATTGGGATAGTCACTGGAAATACCGAAGCAAAAGGCACAGTTCCTGCTCTAAAGATGCTTAGCTTTATCTGGGTATTTATATTGTCTAATAAAACTCTCTTAGAATTGCTCCTTCAGTCATGTGTATGTTCATGTGTAATGAATTCCCTATCTTAACGATGATCTGTATTCCATATTGTGAATTATTTTAAAAGGAAATTTGTTAAGTAATGAAATAAATAGTTAAGCCTAGGTAAGACCACTTTGGGCAGTATTTATAACCAAAAAATAGGCATTGTTTGTCTGAGAAGATGAAAAGGCAAATAAAGTGTTAGAAATAGGCTGGAGCGGAGAGTATTGTTAGTCTGTGGGGAAAAAAATGACATTAGTTAAGAGCAGGCACTGGTTACGGACTGCCTTATGATCTGTGACATAATCTGTAAAGCGTTTTAGAAAGAAGTGGCATGGTGAAAGTGATTCTTGCTACTGTGTATGGGATAAATGCAGCTTCCATTGTAATCCTGTTGTGAGATGATGAGAGATGCTCTCAGTTTAGAGTTACAGGTATTGAGAAGGGTTTATCTGAGAAATTGGTTGGACTTAGTGTTGAACTGGATGTCAGAGTCCTGGAGAGCTGGCACGAAAGGGCATCTGGAAGGGAAAAACATCATTCATTTATCCATTTGGAAAATACTTGCCGTGTGCCAGGCACTGGGGAACCGCATATGGTAAAACAAAGCAGACATGAGGTGCTGATGCTAGAATAGTTCAAAAGGATTAAGGCACATTGGGGTTTTGAGTTGGCTTATTTTCTTTTGCTTTTAATTTTTATTTATTGTAAAAATTTATATATCTTTGGCTGTGCTGGGTCTTGGTTGCTGTGCACGGCCTTCTCTGTTTGTGGCGAGTGGGGTCTACTCACTGGGTTCGGAGTCTACTCACTGCCTTCTTACTGCTGTGGCTTCTCGTTGAGGAGCACAGACTCAGTAATTGTGGTGCAGAGGCTTAGTTACCTGATGGCATGTGGGGTCTTCCCGGATCAGGGACTGAACCCGTGTCCCCTGCATTGGCAGGGGCAGGCAGATTCTTAACCCCTGGACCACCAGGGAAGTCCTTCTTTTGCTTTTGAAATGGGCTTATTTAGCATAGTGAGCAACTAGGTAAAATCATCTACCACAGCCGCCTGGAGTAACTGTAAAACCTAAATGATAACTAGAGAAAAAGCAGAAAACTTTGGCGACTAAATCATTTAAAGTCTCATCTTTCAATAGAATGCAGATTCTTGAATTTTAAAAAAATAGGCTGCTCTCACTGAGTGCCTTTCATTAGTATTAAACAATAGTAATAACCATTTCCATGTTTGAAACCTGAAACATGTTACATGACTGGCATAAACACTTTCTTGATGATTACAGATTTGGCCAGATCAAATATGTAGCAGGTGTCTGGTAGTGGAGTGAGATGACAGTATTTGGTAGCACTAACTCCTCCAGCACTGTGGGTGCCCATTAGCACGCCTGTGTATGAGCTGGGTTTTCACCTTGCTTGTAGGCTGCTGATAAGAAGATTTAAATGACTGTGGAAAGATTTTTGCTCCAGGGCAAAGAACTCAATAGAAATCCATTTATATAACTTGGCGTGTATGGTGGTATTGAGTGACACAAAATAGTAGTGGAATGTAGTCATTCATATGTAAAGGTGGTTCTTCCAGGGAGCTGCCAGGGTCTGATAAGGAAAATAAAAAAAGCAAAGCTTTTGTAGTCTGTGTTTAAGCCATCCAAGAATTACCCACACAGATACTACTCATTACACTTTTTCCATTCAGCAGGGAAATGTGTCCACAGGCAAAAGTATCTTTATCTAATTTTGAAGTGATTGTTGTTTTGCTGCAAAGATAGCTTCTGGAACTTCTTGATGTGATCCTTGTAATAGTGCAGATTGAATGTATTAACTGTTACTGCTGCTATCAGAGGTGGGAACTCCTGCCAGTAAGCTGTGTAGTGTGATCAAGAGGGACAGTTTGCATCTTGGTTGAACAGCATTTCAGAAATAGATTTTTATCTTAACTATTCCGCCTCTGCATTCTGAACCCATTTGAGAGAATAATTTACATGAAGGTTAACATAATTTAAACTACTGGGTTTACATACTTGGAGCAGTTCGCTTTCACAGATTTATGGATCTAAATCTAAAATTGCAGGTGGTGGTTGTATAATAATTATTTCTAACGCCACTCCAGTGGGTTTTTTCTTTAATTAATTAGTATTTTGGCTGTGCTGGGTCTTCCTTGCTGCACAGGGGCTTTGTCTAGTAGCGGAGAGCGGAGGCGACCCTTGGTCGCAGCGCACAGGCTTCTCACTGCGGTGGTGTCTCGTTGCAGAGCGCAGGCTCCAGGAGCGCGGGCTTCAGCAGCTGCAGCACTCAGGCTCTGGAGCGTGCGCCACACAAGCTTTGCTGCCCTGTGGCATGTGTGGAGCCTGTGTCCCCTGCATTGGCAGGCGGGTTCTTGACCACTGGACCACCAGAAAGTCCCATTCCAGTGGATTTTATGGCTTAAAGATGGTTTAGATGGTCAGCATAGATCTGACCCCTCTTCACACAATCAAGGAAAGAATTACTGCTTGAATGCTGTTTCAGTCTATTTTTTTCAAGGAAAAAAAAATGTCTTTGGTCATATGTGGTGTACATACATAGTTGCTTTAAAGCAGGGAGCCACAAGTTTTTACTAGGTATCTGTGTACCATTTTAACTCTGAGTTCTTCCTTGATGACATGATAGGGAGACAGTGTTCTAGTCATTAAGAAATATTTCTTTTTCCCTTTTAGTGCCCCTTCTTTGTTGATGCCTCTTCCTGGAACTAAAGCATCAGCTTCAACGGATAAATACGCTGTATTTAAAGGAATTGCAGCTGACAAGTCCTCTGAAAGTACTGTTCCCTTTGGAGGTAAAAGCAGTTCATAGATTCATGAGCCTGTGAATGTAAATCTTAGTTTTTAGTGGTGACCTTTTATGATAAATGTCCTTGAGTTGTGATCTCAAGGTTCCTAACCTTAATTGAGCTTCTGTCTTTTCATCATAGAGCCTGGTGATAAATACAGTGCTTTCAGAGAGCTCGAACAGACAGCAGAGAGTAAATCTTTGGGTAAGTTTTTGATTCCTTAAATGGATGAATTATTTCATTGTTTAATGTGAGATTTTTACGACTCTTTCAGTAACATCCCAAACGTTCTTTTATTTTACTGTTTGTGGCTGTGTTTTTGTTTTGTGGCTCTGGAAATTACAAGGAAGCGAAATGTGGTTCAGTTATTGGAAATTATTTTCTAAAAATTAGGGCAGACCCCAAATTGATGCAGTTTCCTTTGAAGACAGTCAGTGCATTCCCTTTCACTGGAAGCCTTCAAGTCATGTTAGGCTCCTGTGGCCAGTTTCAGTTATTTTAACGTTCGATAAGACTGGAGCTGTTGTCAGTGCGGCAATCTGTGGACTGTGCAAAAGGCAGCAGCAACCAGTCAGTATGCCTCCAGGTTTTCAAAATTAGCTGTCATTTAATGAGAAGAGTGAGAGGGGTTTGTGTGCCTGTGTGGTTCCCATCTCTAATAGAAGGACTTAAATAGAGTGGAAGGGAATTTAGAGTGATAATTTGAGAGCCATATATGTAAAGATTGAAAGTTTTATTTGTGGCAAAATCCTGGAAACTTCATGTGTAGGATTTAGATAATCTATAGGTCAAATGATATCCTTCAAAGCTTAACCCACGCATGCTGTGAAATTCATATCCTCTACTGAGGAGTTCTTCCTGGGGACAGTACCACATTCTACCGTTTTGTATTTGGACACTCAAACTTGGACCATCTTTCCACAGTCATTTGTTCTAACCATCTCTCCAAGTAATGGGGTGGGTTCGGGGAGGTGAAGGGAATTACAAGAAGGATAAGGTGTACATGTGAAATTTAAACTATCAATAGAAAGTATACTGCTTAAATATCTCTAAAAATATTCAATATTTTACAGCTCTTAGGTTCAGAACTGTTTCCTTGGGTTTCATTCAAGCCTTTAGAATGTAATAGCTTTCTTCCTCAGTGCTAGTATTAGGTACTAGGAGTACAAAGATAAACCCAGAGGAACCGTAGGTTTCTTGATGTGGCATTTACTCCTAGTGTTGCTGTCATCAACTCATGGGCCAAGGCAAGTTTGGAGTAAGAGCGTGGGCTAATACCACAGTTCTCTCTATACTCTGGTGTTGGCGGTTGTGTGATGTCTGTCGTTCCTGGGAAACGCCGCGGCGCCCCACTGCTTTCTCAGTACCTTCCTGACAGACTCCCAGACGGCTGTCGTCATGCTTTCATTCCGGGCTTATCTTTAAGGCTCTCCATGTAGTGATGCCAACTTTGTTCATTTGGGGAGAATATATTTTAATTCTACTCTTGTTAAGAATACATTGGACTGCAAAAATTTGAAGTAAAACAGGAAGATGATTGTGTGATGTTTAATTAACCCTCTTTGAAGGTCATCTGACTCATGGAATGAAACTGTTGGCTTATAATACTTTTGCAGTTGACTAGGGCTCTCATGTTAAAGGTGAACTTAGTAGAAAACTGATTAGGTGGGTTGATTTTTTTAAATATTTAATACAGAAGGTAGTAACACAAAGGGTTAAAATATTATTATCAGTCAAGTAATCAGTTTTGTGTAGAATTTAGCAATTTTATTTCAGTAGTTCTTTGTCATTCGATTATATAACCACTAAAAAAAAAGTTGGACTGGCTTCATTACTGTTACTGCAGAGGTGTAGTTTCTTAAGTCCAAATGACTGAGTTTAATAATATTTCCTTTTTACTACCCCTATAGTTTAAACTGTAAACTTAAAGTAGATGCAGAAAATACACTATATAGAGAAGTGACACTTTTTGTTTAAGTTTTAGCAAATAATGATATCCTTTGAAGTGTCTTTAGAGGCTAGAAAGTAGCAGTTAGGGAAACTTAATGAGGATTCAGAAGTGGACTGAAAAGGCAGCCACGAAGTCATACGCTTTATGTACCTCCTGACAAGCAGGCGTCCAATGCCTGTGACTGATTCATTTGCCCAAAGATCTCCTGTGTTTTTGAACATGTAAACCCACCCATGTTTATTTCTTTTTAACCCTTTCACCCAGCTTACATTTCTAGTGGAAACATTTACAATTCATCAGTAAGTTTAGTTTGCTGTGGCGATTTCTTTTACAAAATAACCAAGCAAAACTTGTCAATTTCACAAATATTTTAAAGCAGCACGTCAAAAATTTAAGCTGTGACAAAAGTGGCTGCTTGTTACCTTTTTATTTTACAGAAATAAATATTATCAGTGATATACTTGCCTAAAATTCTAGGGCAGTTTTTTAAGTTTCATATCTGCTTCTCCTGTCAATTTGTGAAATTGACTTTAGTTTTACTAATGGTATGTATGAAAACATAAACTACAGAAACTCTGAATGCTCTTCCTATCTTTCTAAAATTTCCCTAGTAATGGTAAACAGATTTCTCTGTGTTGATAAATTATGCTGGTGGATTGGTTAAGTATCTCAGATTAGGAGGAAAAATAAGCTTCCATTATTTTCCATGCTTTTTTTCATATGATATATCAAAGTATATATCATGTTACAAGCACAGAATATTTAAAGCTTATATTATTTTCATGATTTTCAGAATTATATTTTGATTTTATGTACCTTTTTCTAGCTTATATGCTTCTTTATCTCATTTTTAGGGAAAAATATGATTTTAAAAAGTAGATGAGGAAATTAAAGCTTCTTGTGTTTTAGTTTATAACTCTCCAGAATGGCACTCATATTTTTAAATAACAAGTGACATTACTATAGCTATATTTATAATTGGTTTACCTCTGGCTTTCATTACCTGGTATAACCTGATGGCTTTTGTGGGCGATCTTCAGGTGCTATTAGAAAATGGAAATTGTTTGAACGTCCTCATGTCATGTCTGAGTGATTACACGCTCTCCTGTGCTGTAGTTGCTCAGCTGTGTCCGACTCTTGGCGACCCCATGGACTGTGGCCCACCAGGCTCCTCTGTCCATGAGGATTCTTCAGGCAGGAACACTGGAGTGGGTGGCCATGCCCTCCTCCAGGGGATCTTCCCAGCCCAGGCACTGAACCCAGGTCTCCCGCACTGCAGGTGGGGTCTTTACCGTCTGAGCCACCGGGGGAGCCCGCGTGATAACATGAATATGAAAAGAAAGAACAGAAACCCTGCTGAGAACCATGACCCAGACTTTTACCAGTATCTTAACTGTATCTGTTTAATTATTTCTGAGAAATACCTTAGTACCTATTTTCTGTAACTAAAAAAATAAATGGTCAGTAACTCTATCTCCAGAGTAGCCCAGTATAAAATAAAGTTTAAATCCAACCCTCAAAATTTTTAATAACAGAATTGGTGTTCAGATCCCTTTGAATTTTAATAAGAACAAGAGCTGATTGGTACCGTGAGATGGCTGATTTCAAGAAAACCCCAAGTACTCAGATTTTTTTTTTTTTGTAAGATTCAGTTTATTTGTTGCATGGCGTGGGGAGAAGCTATCAATACCTTATAATATGCCCTGAGAAAAAATGCTTTGCAAGTAAATAGATGCCTTTTCAACCTTTTCGGGGAATATTCTAGTCCAGTCACCAAATTTCCTTCAAATTAATGCCTCTGTATACTTCAGCAAAACCACATAGTATCTAACCATAAGCTTTAAGTGCCTAACTGAGCAGAGTCTTGTACATCCTAAATATTTGATGCAAGATTCTTTGTAATATTTCATAGGTACCGTGATTTTTTTTTTCCCTGATTGATCACTGTGTTACACATTTTATCTTTGAAGGGCCATGATTTTAATATACCCCTCTTCAGTAACCTCCAGCGCCCATTTCTTATTCTCCTGGAGGCTTGGCTGCGTAGCCATAGTGAGGAAACATCCTGAGAGCAATGCTTTCAGCCAGTTGAAGGCTCTGGTACAGACTTAGACACTGAAATGAGAAAATGAAAATGATATGATACATGTGTTCAGTTTGATTTTTATTTGTTTCTCTATTACTAGCCTTCAGTGTGGATACAAAAGGGATACATGGTGTAAGGTATTATCAAACTAATGATTAAATAATGTGAACCCCGTGAGACAAACATCTGTAATATGCTTGTTCTTAACATGTTTTGCATCGTGTGCCTTTCAGCTCGGCATTCTTCTGTATTTGGTTATTTTTTCTTTCAGGAGAAAACTTTGCAGAATTCAGATCTGCAGGGGCCGACGATGGCTTCACTGATTTTAAAACCGCCGATAGTATCTCACCACTAGAGCCACCAGCAAAAGACAAGCCTTTTCCAGCCACCTTCCCCTCAGGAGCTACCCAGCAGAAACCACAAACACAAGTGAAAAATCCTCTGAACTTAGCAGATCTAGATATGTTTTCCTCAGTTACTTGCAGCAGTGAGAAACCGTTGTCCTTTTCAGCTGCATTCAGCGGATCCAAATCCGTTTCCACACGACCCCAGCCAACAGGGTCTGCAGCACCCAGTACAGCATTGGTGTCAACTAAGACTGCTGGTTTGGCTGATGATTTTGGAGAATTCAACCTTTTCGGGGAATATTCTAGTCCAGCCTCTGTCGGGGAACAGGATGACTTTGCAGATTTTATGGCTTTCAGTAATAGTTCTATTTCATCAGAGCAAAAGGCAGATGACAAATATGAGGCGCTTAAAGAGGAAGCTAGTCCTGGTCCTCTGACCAGCAGCACAGGCATCGCAGGGAAGAGTGGACAAAACTCTGCTGCCTCGTCCACGAAATACGACGTCTTCAAACAGCTCTCTCTGGAGGGATCTGGACTAGGTGGTGAAGAGCTGAAAGACAGCACTTCTTCGGGCAAGAGCGATGATGATTTTGCTGACTTCCACTCCAGTAAATTTTCCTCCATGAACTTGGACAAATCCCTGGGAGAGAAAGCGGTGGCTTTCAGACACACCAAAGAAGACTCTGCTTCGGTGAAGTCCCTCGATCTCCCTTCCATCGGGGGCAGCAGTGTCGGCAAGGAGGACTCAGAAGACGCACTCTCTGTTCAGTTTGACATGAAACTGGCTGATGTGGGAGGAGAGCTTAAGCATGTCATGTCTGATAGCTCTTTGGATTTACCGACAGTTAGTGGCCAGCATCCTCCTGCTGCAGGTGAGGAATTGGTGAGATTGCTCTGGTGATGGTGACGCAGATGTTAGAGGTGGTTCTGTGGGTGTTCATTTACAGAAGAGGAAGGCTCTGGCTCTTAACCTTTATGAATGTCTGATAATTAACCTCTTCATTGCCGGTCCCCTTAAAGCAGTGTTGCTTTTGATTCTCTGGCTACTCGGATATGTGGTTACTGTGAATACAGTGAAACTTGGATAGCTAAAATAGTTTGACGTTTGAAACCTGACACCAGCTTGGTGTTCGAGGCACATCAAAATCCACTGCTAAACGAGCCGCACATTGCCAGAAATGTTATAAAGACATTGGCGGTGTCAGTCATGTCCCTCTGTTTCTGTGAGTGAGGTCAGGGTTTCCTCCTTTTTTTTTCTCCGGGTATGTTTGTCAGCTGCCCATAGAGTATTCTTTTTGGTTTGCAGAAACCAACTCGTGTTAGGCCAAGTAAGTAAAAATGTCTAGCCAGTGATCTTGCAGTTTGCCACATCCCTACAAGAGAAGAAGAGGGCAAGAACTTGTGTGTGGGCGCCCTGCGTGCCAGGGCCTGGCACGGAGAAGGGCACCAGGTGTTAGTGGAATTCAGGTAAGGTTTTCAGTGCTAGTGCTATGGCCAGAAGTATTAAATTGTAACAGACCTTAGACGGTAGAATAGGGTAACTGCTAACTTCCTCAGAAAACGTTTGAGAACATCTTAGAAGGGAACCCTGTTTAAATTCCATATGGATTTACATGTAGCAGTTGATTCTCTGTCCAACTTCCTGTCAGAAAAACTAGATTCCCAAGTGTCCTAGTCTTTATTTTGTTTTGTTCTTTGATATATATATAGAAAGATACACCTATTTTGTGGCCTTTAATAATGAGAACTATCTCAGTATTACTGTATTATTCCAGAAAAATGCATACATGTGTGAAGGGTTCATTGTTGTTTAACCAGAGAGAGACACACAAGACACTCCCAAGTTTACAGATTCAGGCAGAAGTTGTAAAGTATGACAGCTTTTGCATGCATCAAATTGGTCAAGTCAGAAAGCAAAATTACATCCATCCTTTGGCTATTGAGAGGTTGGAAATGGTCTTAAACAGGGTGCTGAATCGGGAGCAAGGTATTGGAGGAGTGCTGTGTTCCACGGGCTCTTTGCTAAGGCCTTTGCCAAGTGCAGTGGGCTGTCTGCAGGGCAACTTGTGCCCCTGCCTGTCTACTTGTTTTTTTTAATGTACTTTTCTTCAGATGTTTTTCTTTTCTTTTTTCTTTTTTGCTGCTCTTTGTTTGCTGGAGAGATTCTGTTTCTCTTTTTTGTATGAGCTGCTTAAGTTACAGCAGTTGGTTGCAAAGTGCTTTGTTTTCTGAACAATAATAGTGACTTTTTATTTTAAAATCTCATGACATGTACTCTAGCCTTTTGGACTCTGAAGTTATGAATTAGAAGCTATTTTTCTGAAAGTAAGTCTCTATTCTTTCACAGTGCCAAACTAGATGTCATTATGAGATGAGTCTAATCTGGGCTTGGGGTGTCTTTTTTTTTTTATTTCCCATTTTGGGAGGGGAGATTGGTTTCGTGACTGAGCTTGTTCTGATTGACCTGTTAAAATAATCTTCTGTGCTCATGTCCTTTTATGTATGTTTGGAACATTCCCAGCTTGGAACCTGTAATGTTCAAGCCAAGTTTCTTCAATTTGAGGATATTCTTAAAAGCGGATTGTTCTCTCCTTTTGATCTGTAAACCTCCTGTCCGAAAGGAGCAGTATCCCTTTAGAGTGGTTGTAAAAGGGGTTGATGTCTGACCAATGAGCTGTATTGTTCTTGAGCAGAACTGCTGCGTGAATGTATTGGAGAAGGTAAATGACAGAGACTTCTCCAGTGCAGTTTGGTTTTACATTATCCTCATCTTGACCACAGTAGCTCTTGCTCCCTCAGATTGTGGATTAAAAGGTACATTTTGTTGGAGAAATAAGAAGTGAGCTGATGAAGAGAGAATAAGACCTAGTAGTTTATCTCTGGACCTTAATCCTGTTTGGAAACCCTAACTTAACTCTGAAGGGGATACTGTCTCTTTTAACTCCTGCTGTGATTCTTTGTATGGAAGGTAGATAATACTAATAACATTGCCTGATTTCTCTGCGTATTATTACATTTAACCCTTTGAGCCCTTGCTGCATATAATTTCAACTAGGCTGCTTTTGTCCCCCGCCCCCAACCCCACCCCCACTAAATTGAATCTCTCAGCACTAAAGCAGCTTGATGTGCAGTCATTGAGATCATCTGGTTTCGTTGGCAGCAAGAGCTGACCCTCTTTGTGACACTGTCAAAGGGTTAGCAAGACTTCTGTAGCTCCCTACTTACCTACTTGTAAAGTAGCTCTTCTTTGACATTGAAAATCTTTGTATTTTAATCAGCGCCTTATTATTATTTTTTGGCTGCTTTTCTGATGTCTTTTTTTTTCAATTGGGACATTTTCTGTGTGAATGTGCCTTTTCGAACTTGCTTTGGTATATTCCTCTGCAAATACTGATCTGCATGCTTATTCTGATGACTTTTTTTCCAGCTCTTCTGTATCACTCTCTTTTGTGATCTGTAAGTCCTACGTTAATAAATAATTCTTTGGCATATTTTGAAAGTGTGGGGATGTGTGTAATTTATACTTCTCCAGGGTTAGACCAAAGTAAAATACCTGGTCCATATCAAATTTAAACCCTCCTGTGGTTAGAGGGTTTTTTCCTTTTTGTTTATTTTGTTTCCTCAAACACCTTTTTCCTAAGAAAGTATTGGTACATTTTAGCCTTCTCTTATTATAATGCCACTGATATAACTGTTTAACATGGCATTGGATTAAAATATAACTTAAAACATTTAAAAAGTATAAACCTTACATTATTACATGTTAGAAATTTTATTCCTTACCTCTAGTGACAAAACTGAGTAGATTTATTGCTTTGTAAACATCTTGGTGGCTGCCTCAACTAGGAGTTAAACTGAGAAGAGAAAGGAAAGACGTCAGTTTAGTGTTGGGGAAAGAGGGCCACATCTGTCAGTAACTGCCGATGCTGCTGCTGCTAAGTTGCTTCAGTCGTGTCTGACTCCGTGTGACCCCATAGACAGCAGCCCACTAGGCTCCCCCGTCCCTGGGATTCTCCAGGCAAGAACACTGGAGTGGGTTGCCATTTCCTTCTCCAGTGCATGAAAGTGAAAAGGGAAAGTGAAGTCGCTCAGTCATGTCTGACTCTTCGTGACCCCATGGACTGCAGCCTACCAGGCTCCTCTGTCCATGGGATTTTCCAGGCAAGAGTACTGGAGTGGTGTGCCATTGCCTTCTCTGAGTATCTATAAATTAAATTATCAAATGATATTGAGATGGACTTCTGAACAGAGTATATGTGAACCAAATTTAGAATGATAGTCTCTGCAACAGAAAGTGTTCTTGTTAATACTAGGGAGTCTCCAGGACTGGATTTGATTTGAGTTTGAAGTTGGGTACTTCATCCTCTAACTGTAGAGTGCATTACCTTTCCAGCTTCAGAATGTATTATGAAGCCACCTTCCTTTGGTCTTTTTTAACTTAGTCCAGGAGGCGAGTTCTTAGCTCTTTGCATTTTTAAGAAAAGAATTTCTTTTTTTAGAAAGACCCATGAAAGTCAGCCACAAGAGTAAGCCAAATTTGTTTTTTGTTTTTTTTGTTTTTTTTTTTTTACCATTTTGGAGTATAATAGTAGGGAAAAACTTTGGGAAAAAGGAGTTATCTGTATGGTTTTAATTTTTTTTCTTATATTTTGACACTTCTTTTTAAAAAATTGAGTCAGAAAGGAAATTAAACCATTGAAGGTGAAGATTTTGAATAGAATTCCTGAGAGATTACTTGCAGTACCTGAAGTATGCCATGTGTGGGGGGAGGCACGGAGATTGCATATTGAGACTAAGAAAATGTGGGTCTACACTTCAAAATATCATGTTTTCCAGAGCATAATGCTTTAGCAAGTTGAATAATACTTGGTTTGCAAAACCTTGTGTAATCGTATTATGTTTTAATTATAATCTGTGCTAACTAATTTGGAAGAAAGATTTTGGTGTAGCTTCTATCTAGCAATATCTGTTGCCTTTTGTTTAGAATTTTCTCATGCCAGTCTTTTGGCTTTGGTGAAGGAATTCTTTTGTCAGTGGAGTTTAGTGGTAGAATGGTCCATCTGGGGCTGCTTTAACTCCTTTCTCCTTTAAATCAGGCCGCAGAAAATGAACATAACTGTGCATAAAACATAATCACATTCATAAGTGGAGCCAATTAATAAAAGTAACACTACTTTTTAGGGAGAAAGTTTTGATAATACATATAGCAATATAAACTCACAAAGATTTGAAGGACTGTATTCTCTTCTGTAAGTTCCAGCAAACCAAAAATACTATTTTGTTTATCCCCATGCCAGGTAAAGTGAGATGTGGTTAGTGCTTGACTTCACACCTCAGTATCTGAGAAATTATTCAGGTGTATTTATATTTTACAATTGCTCTGTTTTTCTCATTAAAATCCCTACTGATTTTTTAAAAGTAGCTGATGAACATGGTGATAATTTTGTCAATATCAAAGAAGCTGGGCTAAATCCTAAAGTAACTGAAAAAAATCAAGCCATTTTATTTTTAAAGAGCTTCCAGCTTCGTTTTTCCATCAGTTGAATGCTTTTCATAAGTTGTTTTGGAAAATGTTGGCCCATTGGCTATATAGGGTCACTATATATGGGGTGATATACTTAGGAGGTTTTCCTGGGTGCTGCTCTCTCCCTTTCATGGCCAAAAGGCTCCAGTTGTAATTGCCATCTTCTGTGCTCATTTAATGTTTTTTTAATGATGACCATGTCCCACTGTTTGTCTTGGCACTGTTCCATGGCCTTCTGCCTCCTCCAACTGAAAATATCCATAGGATTACCTTTTTTTTTTTTTTAATTGAACTTAAAACACCGACCCAGAAGCCTGCAGGTGCTTACTGATAGCCTGACGGCGCTTAAACCTTAGATTTACATGGGTCCGTACAGATGAAGAATGTTAGGTTTCTATGCAGGTTAGAAAATACTGGAAGGCGATTATACAGCAGCGTTTTATGGCCTATCATGCTTACACTGTGATCACTTTCATTCCTGTTTTCTTTAACAACACCATCTGGGTGTTTGATACTTAAGACAATACAGTCAGACCAGGTTCTACAGGTAACAGAGAATGTGAACATGACTGATCTCAGAAGGAAGAGTAAGACCAGAAATGGACAGAAGTTTAAGTGTATAAATATTTCATGATTTGCTTTGGTAAAACGGAGTTTGGACTAAATCAGTATTGGAAATTCCTTACTCCAGTCAATGAACATTTTTATTGCCAGTTAAACACTGAGGAGTGGTGGAATTTGCACATGTATCTGGTTTTTTTTTTTTTCTTTTTTAAATGCTTTTCCCAGAAGCTAGTAACTCTTAATCACCTGGGCACATGCTTAGAGTTTTAGAAAAGATCCATGGAAAACAGTGTGGACTTCTGCATTCTGTAGTGGCAGCTCACATTCTTTGTTCCAGGAAATACCTTGTTCTCATGTATAACATCCATTCAGATGGGATTTGAATAGAGGTTATGGGAGAGACTGATGGGGTTACTTGCCAGCATAAGCAAGAAATCCATGTCTTGATTTGAGACCCATGATGGAAAGCAGATTGTGTAGTTTATTCCTCTGGCTTGGTAATAGGACATTGCTAGTTGCAAACAAATACGTATATTAAAGCACACAATTTGGTGCATTATCTGTGTGCAATTGCACTTCAATCCAGCACAGCTGAAGAGTTTTCCAGTAGAATTGAAAATACAGTAGTGATTCTCTATTCCTTTTATTGCATCCATTCTGTTTTCTTTTCCTTTTTGTCTTGCAGTTTTCAGAATTCAGCTGTCAAATTGAAAACTCACCTACAGTAACTTCAGTGGTTACAATATCACTCATGTTGTAGGTTTTGCAGAATATTTAATGTTTTTAAGACCAACATACAATAATACATATCGTTTGATTGCTTAGAAAACAGAACTGTTAATGTGGGAAATGAAGAATTTTCTTGGTTTAACCTATTCTTAGTGAACTGATTTACCACATTAAAAAAAAAATGGTTTACTAATATTCACCATGCCAGGAAATACAACTCATTTTTATATTGCTTATAAAGTGCTATGGTTTAGGAATTCAGTGTTCTCATGTTCCTTACGTAATAGCAGCACTTCCTTTTGTGTCCAAATGAATTGCACTTTAGCAACTTATTCTTTTTTTACACTGTCTAGCCAGTAAATAAGTGAAAGTAAAATTTAAAAATCAGCCTTGAGGTTTAACTTTCATATATCCTGTATAATTACTCTTCATTATTTTTTAGAATACAAAATATTTCCATTTTAGTCTTTTGTTTGGTCATTTCTGTGAGTTGTTCCAAGAGGCAAAATGTTGTGTTTATCATTCATAATAAAAATAAGATTTGTTGAAGACCTTAAGTATTACACAAAATACTTGAAAGCTCTTCAACTAAGGTATTCCCTTAGTGTTTATAATGCCTTTTACCTGATTATAGTACAATAATTTCTGGGTTTTTTTTTTAACTTTTTTTTTCTTGTTGCATAATTGCACAAAAGGATCTTTTTTTATTACCATAGCAACTTAGTTGTGGTTGAACAAGAGCTTAACTTTTTATTAAATGTATCTTTGGTCTCTATGAAAATAGCTACCAATTTAGTAGATGAGATTCTAGGAGTAGTTCATAACATAGCTTCTTCAAAGAGCTTTCTGGTAGGATCTAATAAAATTTTATGTTGTGACACATCCTTCTGAATGAACCCTATGCAGACTCAGTCATCTTGTGTTTAACTGCATCTGCCTTCTGATTGAATTTCACTTAATTTGAGTCAGGGAACCCTCTGATCCCTTTCAGTAGTGGGGAAAACAAACACTACAGCCAGAGACTAAGAAGGCATTCTGTGTAAAGTCTTGTTTCATTCATTCTGAACTGTACGTTTTCACCTAAATCTTTTCTTCCCCTCCTGTTTATATTAAGTTAGTGCCCTTTTCCTAATAGGACTGAGAGAGAAGCTTGGGGTGTACTGTTGGAGGAGCAATGTCAGGAATCCCTTCCCTCTGATAAACCAGGCAGCATCACTGTGTAAGAGAAACGGAGAGGCCCAGTGCTGGCTCACCTGTTAACTGAATTATTAGAATCTGGGTCACAGAACTTTTCAAGCGTTTTCCTCACAAGCCCTGCTTTTGGTTGTTGGAGAGGGAGTCTTGCATTTGGCCTTCTCACCTGGTCGACAGTGACCAAAATGAGACCAAATGCATCTTGGACAGATTGAATGGACCATAGTGCTAGAAAGGTGGCTTCTCCACACCAGTGTGACTCAGCCCCAGCTGGTTTGGCTTCAAGAAAATGGGCAAGAAATTCTCTCTACTAAGACGACCAAAGTGATGGGTTGACTTTTCACATTTTACTTTGAAACGATTCTATTTTAAGCCCCAAGGCAGGCAGCTAAATTTCACAGTGAGGCTGGTGGCAACCGTGCTGTGTAATAATTGCTGTACTGCTCACTAGGCTCTGTGAGACGTCCCTGGTGGCTCAGAGGGTAAAGCGTCCGCCTGCAATGCAGGAGGCCCGGGTTCAGTCCCTGCGTCGGGAAGATCTCCTGGAGAAGGAAATGGCAGCCCACTCCACTATTCTTGCCTGGAGAGTTCCATGGGCGGAGGAGCCTGGTGGGCTACAAGTCCAAGGGGTTGCAAAGAGTTGGACCCGACTGAGCGACTTCACTTTCACTAGACTCTGGGCTGGTCCCTTTACACACACTGTCATTAATGTCACAACACAGCCCTGCCACGTGCCTGGTCTTTTTCTTTTTTTTTTTTTTTTTGCATATAAGCAAGCCAAAGTTGAGATATTAAATAGCACGCCTAGTGTCACACAAGTGGTAGGTGGTGCAGCTGGGAGTTGAATGCAGGTCTGTCTGAATGAAAAACCTATATTCTTTTTGCTGTTTGGTGCCACCTCTTAAATTATTTAAATATATATTAAGCATGTAAAATGAGTCTTCTGCCCCAGCGTTTCTTTCTTTTCCTTTTTTAATGAGGCAGTTACACATAGTTGAAAGAGAAACAAGAGCCCAAGAGGACCCAGACCTTTGATTCTGTTTGTTTAGAGGCAAAAGTTAACATAGATTGATTTTTTTTTTCCCCTCATACTCCATAGCTTAGATTGATTTTTTTCCCTCATACTCCATCACAGCAGTATGACGTCCATAGTGACCAAAATAACAACTGGGTAAGTAACTACTTAATTAAAATCTCATATTTGGCCTTGCCTAGACAGAAACTCCTAGTAATTGTTGAAAAGTTGGCTACAACATTTTTTTTTTAACTTTAGTTTCAAGATAGTCAATTTTTAATTAGTGTGTCATATACATTTCTTATGAGCATGTTATAAATGAACATGTTCCAGTGAAGTCAAAATGTAAGAGACTTGTTTGGGCAGGGAGTATTGTAAATACATTTTCAAGTTTACAAGTGAATGGACATTTTATTAAATGACCCTATCCTTCTATCAAACAGTATATACATTGGTGGACGAACCTCCTGTCTTTTTTTTTTTTAAGGAACTGTCGTATCGGAAGAAAAGGACTCCTTGTTACTAAATATAAATGCCAGCTCAAGGCTAATGTGGGTTTTTAAAGATCAGATTTTACAGCCCAGCTCCTTTAATTTTAGTACAAGCTCTAAATTTAGTCAATTCCAATATCACGTGAAACTAATCAAAGACGCTAGACATTTTGCTTCTGCAGAGTTTAGGGCATTTTGCCTACATGGTGAGCTTGCCTCTAATTGTGGGGTCTTATTTCCCTTTCAGATATAGAGGACTTAAAATATGCTGCTTTTGGAACCTACAGTAGCAATTTTGCAGTGAGCACACTTACGAGCTATGACTGGTCAGACAGGGATGATGCCTCTCAGGGCAGAAAACTGTCCCCATTTGTCCTCTCAGCAGGAAGCGGAGCCTCGTCAGCTGCCTCAGTTCTTCACAAGAAAGAGACTTCATTCGGTAGTTCCGAAAACCTCACCGTGACATCTCTCTCCAAAGTCACAACCTTCGCCAGCGAGGATCCCCTTCCAGAGACCACCTTTCCAGCTTTCGCCAATTTTAAGGACGTGATCCCACAGGCCAGCGAGCCAAAGGAATATGAAAGCGGGGATTTCAGGGAGTTCGCCAGACAAGACCTGCCTGTAGGCGAGCGGAGCCACGAGGCCGCGTGCCTGAGCCCGGCCTCCAGCAGCGCTTCTCACGACACCACCAAGGAGTGCGCAGATGACTTCGGAGAGTTTCAGAGTGAGAAGCCCAAAATCAGCAAATTTGACTTTTTAGTGGCCAATTCACAAGGCAAAATGAAATCCAGCGAAGAAATGATCAAAAGTGAGCTAGCAACCTTTGACCTTTCTGTTCAAGGTGAGTAGCTTTCAACACAGATTTTACACCATGGTTTCTTCCACTGCGTTCAAGTGTTAGTTCTTTCTTAGAATAAGAAGTTGGTCCCTAGGTTAGCAGGAAATCTGTTTTCCAGTGTTTAAAATCAGAGTCTGTGACAAAGGACTATAAAAGAGGGTTTCCCTGAGACTGAACTGAAACCAGTATTCATCAGATGACAGCTTTGGGGGTTAAAATTAAGTGCAGCACATGGTCAGTTTGTTGGCTTGTTTTGGGGAGAAGTGTGCTGTGTTAGAAGAGCCAGAGAAATGGTTTGACGCTGTGTGGGCCAGTGAGTTCTGCTCTTGATCCCTGGCTACAGAGTTTTATCTTTTCATCCTGAGGTGCCACGTAGTACCTGTGGATCTGGGTCCAGTCTGCAGACCTGTTTTGATTGACCCACACTGAAGGATTTCTAATGTGTGAAGCAATTGCCAGGGCATAAAAACCGTGACACTTCACAACCTGGATTTCTGGCTTTTCTTGGAAAGGCATAATATCTGGCAGTCCTAGGCCTGCGTTCCCACGTCTTGATGACCAGCGGGAGATGAGTCGCATCATCCCCTCCCGCAGACGATGTGATTCCCACCACATTTCCCTCCAGCTAACCTGCTTCAGTCACTTCCTCTGCCCTCTGAAGGCATTTGAGTTTGCCCCTTTGGTTTTAATCTCACCCTGACAGAAGGGCTCATTGATTTCTGTTCATTGAGAAGGATGGAGGAAGTCAGTACCAATCCACAGGTGATGACTGGAAAAGCAGCCACACTCTTGCACACTGATAGTTAGAAAGAGCCTAGTCCTCCAGACTCCAGTGATCCCACGCTCAGAATTATGGAAGTATTCTGACAGATTAAAGAAGCGTAATGGAGAAAATTAAAGGAAGGGGACTCAGGCACGGGAGAACAAGGGAAAGGGTTCAATGTGTCGCTTGCCAGACAGGCCAAATGAGAAGTGTGGCTCTGACCCCTTCCTGACACCAGGATCTAGAGAAGAGCGTCGTGTTAGCAAGGAAGAGCCTCTGCTTGGATTAAACCTGAGTAATCACCTTTGTGCCATCCATCTCCCCCAGGATCGCACAAGAGGAGCCTAAGCCTTGGTGATAAAGAAATAAGCCGCTCTTCTCCTTCTCCGGCTTTGGAGCAGCCTTTCAGGGACCGCTCCAACACGCTGAGCGAGAAGCCTGCCCTGCCCGTCATCCGTGACAAGTACAAAGACCTGACGGGAGAGGTGGAGGTGAGCGGGCTCCTCGTCCCCGGGGGCTGAGCACCCAGGGCCCCGAGAGAAATCCTTGCCTCAGTCACCTGGGGGAACGCGGGGCAGACCATCCCAAGGCCTCGAGCATGAGATGTGTCGCTAAAGTGAGAGCATGGTGATCTTAGCCCTGGATGAAGATTCCTCCTAGATGTGACATCACTGCGAGTAGTTAGTGACCCTAAAAGTGGAATTATTCCTGAGACCTCGCAAGGAGGGAAGTGTTTCTTCAGGGAGTTCTTTTTGAGCATGTGGACTTTATCATCTTAGTGGTAAAACCTCAAAAGGCAGTGCTAGGGGTGGGGGCATGGAGGACTTCCTGGAAGCCCAGTAGTTAAGACTTTACTGTCCAGCGCAGGGGATATGGATTCAGTTGCTGGTCAGGGAGCTAAGATTCCACATGACTCGTGGCCAAAAAACCAAGACATTAAAAAAAGAAAAAATCAAAAAAAAAGAAAAAAGAAAAAATCAGAAGCAATATTGTAGCTAATTTAAAAATTGGCCCACATTAAAAAAAGAGAGGGCAGACGTGCTGGATCCTCTCACGGTTAACGTTCGTCCCATGCTGCTTCCTCCTCCAGCCCACACTCTCAGCATCCTCCTCCCCATCCTTGTCAGACCCGCGCTCACGCGTGCATATCGCTTCCTGACTGTGGAGCAGGAAGCTGTGGTTTGATGCTGGCTCTTATGCTAGACACCTATGTGGTGCATACCTTTAAAGAAGCTTCCACTATTATTGGAACAAATGAGGCAGTGTTTATGAAGGGAATCCACTAAAAACCATTTCCCTCTGATTTACAAGAAGTGTGTTTAGAAGTTATAGTTATCAGGAACTATCAATAAAAATCATCATTAGTGGGTTCAGATGATCAACTGCACTTGGATTAGTGGTTTTCATAGACACGGACGTAAGTCTTCAGGACTCTGACCTGACAGAAGTCACAAGTAGGACTCCAGGCTTGCCCGCTTGACCCAGTTCTTTTTATAAATTTCACAGGAGAATGAGAGGTATGCCTATGAATGGCAGCGGTGTCTGGGGAGTGCTCTGGAGGTGAGTCTGTCTCTTCCATGGGTTCACACGTCCAGATATGCCTCTTGTGTCATCTTGCCTTCTGGGTTCCTTTGGACGGACTCGGGGCGAGCTCTGCCTCGATGGCCTTGCTCTAGAGGACCTGTGTGGGAAGTCACACGCCTTCAGTGAGGCTTCTTTCCCACCTATTGTGGCAGATACCGCTCACTTGACTTACGGTGCCCTCTCTGTCACTGAGTTAAAGATGTAACAAAATGATATTATTATCTCTGCCCAAGTTAAAATAATATTTAAGCTTAAGAACCTTTGTCTTTTCACTTCCAAAAAAACGGAGGCTTGGTTCGTCAATGTCAAAATTAAATTCTCAGATTTGTTTCAGCATAGTCATCTACATACATCAGTCAGTCATGTGTTTTCATACCTCCCAGCTTTCCGCTGGGTTTTCTACTAATAGTAAACTGCTTTGTAATGACTTTTCCTGGTTATGTAAGGTGATGTGATTTCATTTCTTTGTAGGTCATTAAGAAGGCCAATGATACCTTAAATGGAATCAGTAGTAGCTCTGTATGCACAGAAGTAATTCAGTCAGCTCAAGGCATGGAATACTTATTAGGTATGTGCTTTCATATTTTACTTCTTCAAAATCATGACACTTTGAAGGCTTTTCAGTTGTCCCTATGTCAAGTAGTTTAATCTAGATCTCTCAAGCCTCAATAGGACTTCACCAAGTAGCTTCTGCTTTTATAGATAAGACACTTAAATCCTACTGAGGAACAACTATTTGACTTAAGGTCTCTGTGGCCAGGTTTCCCAGTCCTTGTTATACACAATGTAAAGTCACGTTACTGGTTTATCAAAGAGTCTGAACTAGATGAGGCATTAAAATTAAATCATTGGTTTAAAAAAGAAAATTAAATTATTGGGGCCCCAATCAGTTCTACCATGCTCTGTTGAATTCTGCCTTTCTACCCCTTACTAGCCTCACAGATTCCTTAACTTCCTGGCTGGCTTCAGCTCTCACACATCCCAACAGAGATCTCACAGTCCAACATGAAATCTCAGTCCCTGTCCTCCTCAGTGGTCGTCTCCTGCTCAGGGTTTGCCTGTAGCCAGAACCACGGGCACTAGACTGTTCCTAACCTTCAGACCTTTGCTCAGATGTCACCTTCTAAGGTCTTCTTGCCCCTCTTACTCAAAACCGTGTTCCCTCTCCCCACCCTGTCACTTGCTGTCCATCTCCCCACTTGATTTTCTCCCTAGCCCTGTCACATTTACTATCTTAAATATTTTACTTTCTATTATTTGTATCTATTATCTGTCTGTCTCCACTAAAATCCACCTCCAAGAAGGGGGAGATTTGGGTGTGTTTTGCTTCCGGCTGGGTTTCCAGCACCTCACCTAGTGCTGGGCACACAGTGGTCACTGTCTGGGTGAGTGCCTCTGAAGGGCTGTGAGCTCTCCTTATTCCTGCATCCTGCTCTTGTTCCTCTTTCCTGCTCAGACAGGCATAATTCTGCTTCATAAACAAATGCTCACCAGCTCATGGGGTGCCTGCCTGTCCTTCCCTCTAGTAGTTTCCTGGTATGAAAGATTGATCAGAAGCCCCCTCACTTGGCTCAGAGTGGGCTGCAATTCCTAACCTTCCCCTGGGGAAGGAAGGAAGGAAGGAAGGAAGGACAAGCTGCAGTGCTGTATATAGGCTGAGCATGTACCACTGAAGACCCCTTGGCATTCTTCTAGTTCTCTCTGGAACAGGCTGGGGGAGGGTTTTGGTTATGCCTGGCAGCTGTCCTTAGTCTTTGGAGACCTTGGCATCTCTCATCCTTGCTGGAAGAATTCAGCCGTAATTCAGAGACCACAGGAAAAGAACCATCCTGTGTCGTTAAGTGTATAAAAGATACACATGAAGCCACAGACTTTGTAAATCTTTGGGCATTCAGAAGGGTGAAATATTTCCTAATTACAGGCAGACCTGGGAGATATTGGGGCTTCCCTGATAGCTCAGTTGGTAAAGAATCAGCCTGCAATGCAGGAGACCCCAGCTCGATTCCTGGGTCAGGAAGATTCCCTGGAGAAGGGACAGGCTACCCACTCCAGTATTCTTGGGCTTCCCTTGTGGCTCAGCTGGTAAAGAATCCACCTGCAATGTGGGAGACCCAGGTTTGATCCCTAGGTTGGGAAGATCCCCTGGAGAAGGGAACGGCTACCCACTCCAGTATTCTGGCCTGGAGAATTCCATGGACTGTAAAGTCCATGGGGTCGCAAAGAGTTGGACACAACTGAGCAACTTTTACTTTCACTTCACTGGGAGATATTGCAGGTTTGATTCCAAACCACTGCAGTAAAGCTTATAGCTCAATGAAGCGAGTTGCATGTTTTGGTTTATGACTGTAGTCCATTAAGTGTGCAGTAGCATTATGTCTGAAAAACCTTAAATTAAAAATATTGATTAAAAAAGGCTAGCCATCACCTATCTGAGTCTTTAGCAAGCCATACTTTTTTGCTGATAGAGGCTCTTGCCTTGAAGTTATGGCTGCTGGCAGATCAGGGTGGTAGTTGCTGAAGGTTGAGGTGGCTGTGGCCATTTCTTAAAATAAAACAATGAAGTTTGCTTCACCAATGGACTCTCATTAATGAACAGTTTCTCTATATAGTATGCAATGCTGTTTGATAGCATTTTACCCACAGGAGAACTTTTTTCAGAATTGGTGTCAATCTTCTTGAAATCTGTGCTGCTTTATCAGCTAAGTTTATATAATATTCTAAGTTCTTTGCTGTCATTTTAACAGTCATCACCAGGAGTGGATTCCACCCCAAGAAACCACTTTCTTTGCTCATTGTTAAAGATTTATCATGAGATTGTAGCAAATTAGTCACATCTAAAGGGTCCACTTCTAATTCTAATTCCCTTGCTACTCCCATCATGTCTGTGGTTACTTCCTCCACTGAAGTCTTGGAAGAAGACTTCATGAGGATTGGAATCATATTCTTCCAGATTCCTCTTGTTGATACTGTGACCTCTTCCCATGAATCCTAGATGTTCTTAATGACATCTAGAATGGTGAATCCTTTCCAGGAGGTTTTCAATTTACTTTCCCGAGATCTCCCAGAGGAATTACCATCTGTGGCAGCTATAACCTCTCAAAATGTATTTCCTAAAGACTAAGACTTGAAAATTGAAATTATTACTTGACCCATGAGCTGCAGGATGGATGTTCTATTATTAGCAGGCATGAAAACATTAATCTTGTTGTATGTCTTTATCAGAGATCTTGGGTGACCAGATGTGTTGTCAGTGAGCAGTCATATTTTAATCTTTTTCTTTTCTTTTTTTTTTTTCTGAGCAGTAGGCCTCAACAGTGAGCTTAAAATATTCTGTAAACCATGTTGTGAACAGATGTGTTATCATCCAGGCTTTGTTGTTCCACTTATAAAGAGATCACAGGCAAAGTAGATGTAGCATAATTCTTCAGGGCCCTAGGATTTCTGAAATAGTAAATGAGCATTGGCTTCAGCCTAAAGTCCCCAACTGCATTAGCTCCTCACAGGAAAGTCAGCCTGTTCTCGAAAGCTTTGAAGGCAGGCGTTGACTTCTCCTCTCTAGCTATGGAGGTTCCTGGATGGCATCTTCTTCCAATAAGAAAGCGATTTCGTCTACATTGAAAATCTGTTGGTTAGTGTAGCCACCTTCGTTAATTATCTGAGCTAGATCTTCTGGGTAACTTGCCGCAGCTTCTGTATCAACACTTGCTGCTTTACCTTGCCCCTTTATGTTATGGAGATGGCTTCTTTCCTTAAGCTTCATGAGCAACCTCTGCTGGCTTTAAACTTTTCTTCTGCAGGTTCCTTACATCTCAGCCCTCATAGAACTGAAGAGTCAGGGCTTGTTCGGGATGGGGCTTTGGCTTAAGGGAATGTTGTAGCTGGTATGATCATCTCTCGAGAGCACTCAGACTTTCTGCGTATCAGCAACATAAGACTGTTTTCCTTTCTTATCATTTGTGTGTTCCCTAGAGTAGCCCTTTTGATTTCTTTCAAGAACTCTTCCTTTCTTTCGAAAGTTGGTTAGGTGGCACAAGAGACCTAGCTTCTGGCCTATCTTGGCTTTCGACATGCCTTCCTCACTAAGCTTAATCATTTCTAGTTTTTGGTTTGAAGTGAGAGACATAAGACTCCTCTTGGCCTTGAACACTTAGAGGCTATCATTGGGTTGTTAACTGACCTAATTTCAATGTTATCATGTCTCAGGGCATAGGGAGGCCGGAGGAGGAGATGGGTGGGTGGAGCAGGTCAGTGGAGCAGTCAGAACATCTGCTGCGTGTTTCATGGTGCCCCCAGACAACTACAGCAGTAACATCATAGATCACAGATCACCATAGCGAATGATGATAATGGAAATGTTTGAACTACTGTGAGAATTACCAAACTGTGACAGAGAAGCAAAGTGAACAGATGCTGTCAGGAAAATGGTGCTTATAGACCTGCTTGATGCACAGTTACCACAAACTTGTGCAGTTTGTAAAAAAAAAAAAATCATATATTTGTATCTAGAAGCCACAACAGAGGGAAGTGCAGTAAAGCAAGGTGTGCCTTTGCGTTATAGTGATCCTGACACTGTGATTCTTTTAAACTGTTAATGTTCCCATTTTCAGTGAGTATAAATGTATTTCCCAAATTCAAACAGATGGACTCATAAAGAAGCCAGAAAAAAAATAGCTAACATTTGGTTAATGACTGCTGTTCTAGGCCTTTTATAATTTTAACCAGTTTAACCTCTTCAACCACCCTTTGAGAAGGTACTGTTATCCCAGTGTTACAGATGAGGAAACTGCAGTACTGAGAGGTTTGCTCCCTGCCTGAGGTTACACAGCTAGTAAGTGGCAGAGCTTGGACTTGAATCCACGAGGTATAGCTCTAGAGTCTGTGCTCTTACCAGGGAGTTTATCCTGCACCGTTAACAGTTGATGGTTCCTGGGCTTCCCTGGAGATCCAGTGGTTAAGACTCCACGCTTCCCAACCTAGATGTCTATCAGCAGATGAATGCATAAAAAAGCTGTGGTACATATAGACAGTGGAATTTCAGCAATTAAAAAGAATGCATTTGAATCAGTTCTGATAAGGTGGATGAAACTGGAGCCTATTATACAGAGTGAAGTAAGTCAGAAAGAAAAACACCAGTACAGTATATTAATGCATATATATGGAATTTAGGAAGATGGTAACGATAACCCTTTATGCGAGATAGCAAAAGAGACACAGATATAAAGAACAGACTTTTGGACTCTGTGGGAGAAGGTGGGATGATCTGAGAGAATAGCATTGAAACATGTATGTTACCATGTGTGAAATAGATGACCAGTCCAGTCGATGCATGAGACAGGGTGCTCAGGGCTGGTGCACTAGGATGACCCTGAGGGGTGGGATGGGGAGGGAGGTGAGAGGGGACTTCAGGATGGGGGACACATGTACACCCATGGCTGATTCATGTCAATGTATGGCAAAAACCACTATAATATTGTAAAGTAATTAGCTGCCAATTAAATAAATTAATTTTTTAAAAAAATAAATGAATACAAAGACTCCATGCTTCCAATGCAGGGGGCGCAGGTTCAATCCCTGGTAAAGGAAGTAAGATCCCACATGCCGGGGGTTGTGGGCCAAAGAAAAAGTTGATTGATCCCAAGGAGTAAAAAGCTCACATCTGTCCCGATGCAGCCCCTGTCTCACCTAGGATATCAGCCAGCAGAAGGCCGCCATGTCCTGTCGATCTCTTTCTCTCCCTCCAGCACCTAACTCTGTCCTCACTCACCCTGTCAGGTGTTGTGGAGGTGTACAGGGTAACGAAACGTGTGGAGCTGGGGATAAAAGCCACTGCGGTGTGCAGCGAGAGACTCCAGCAGTTGCTAAAGGACATCGATAAAGTGTGGAATAACCTAATTGGCTTCATGTCACTTGCCACACTCACGGTAAGCCCACGAGACAATTCAGCAGTTGCTTTCCTTGCAAAAACCTAAGCCGTAAAGCTGACTGTATGTTCCTTTGGAGGATGACGGTCCCTACTGGACCCGGTTATGTTATAAAAGAAGGAGATCTTAATGACATTTGTGCTGTTAGCTGAATAGCACCAGGTTGGTTTCCAGGCCCATTGTACCTAAATGAGAGTGTAGGAAAATATTCTCTATCTATATCCTTAAGTCACTGTTTCGCAAAGCATTGATTGGAGTTTATCCCTTTGTGTTTCTAGTTTTTTCCCCATTAGTGTCCTTTTAAAAAAAATGTTAATATTAATTCAAAAAGGTACCTGCACCTCAGTGTTCCTACCAGCACTATTTACAACAGCTAAGACATAGAAGCAACCTAAGTGTCCATCAACAGATGAATGGATGAAGAAGATGGAATACTACTTAGCCATGAAAAAGAGTGAAATTTAACCATCTGCAGCAGTGTGGGTGCACTGAAAGGGCATTATGCTAAGTGAAAGAAGTCAGAGAAAGACTGAGACAGAATAACGTCACTTATATGTGGAATCCAAAAAAAATACAACGAACTAGTGAATATCACACAAAAGAAGCAGACTCACAGATACAGAGAACAAACTGGTGGTTACCAGTGAGGAGAGGGAAGCAGGGAGGGGCAACATAGAGTAGGGGATTAATAGGTACAAACTACTATGTGTAAAATAAATAAGCTACTAGGATATATGGTACAGCATAGGGAATATAGGCAATATTTTATAGTAACTATAACTGAAATATAACCTTTAAAATTGTGAATCACTGTTATATAGATGAAACTAATATAATATTCTACATCAACTATACTGCAAAAAAAAATTTTTTTAGACCAAGTAAAACAGAAGACTGTATGAGATATCTTGTTGCTATCCTGTGGTTCATTGAGCCATTTTACTTTCTTAAGGTCTTGATTTGTTTTCATTTTTTCCCCACTGTGAATAGTTTTACTCTGAATATCGTTAAATAAATGGCTGTTTCCCCTTTTGATGGTACAGTTTCTGCCAGTGGACTTAAGAAATCAGAGTGCATGGTTGCACATGTACATGCATGCCTGCATATAGCTGTTGTTCCATGTGTTATATGGATTTCCAGGTAACTTAGAGGCCAGTTGACAGCAGTACATAAAAGTATACATTTCCTTACATTGTATTCTAGCTTTGTTCGTTTCTTAATTTAAAAAGTGTACAAGCAATTCCCTGAAAGTGTTTTTTAAATTTCTTTCATTTCCCAAGGGACCATCTAAGTGTCTGAAATGGTAATTTACTATTTTTATTTCCTTTGTGTGTAAGCTGATCATCTCTCTCTTTTGACCGTTTGGCCATATATTCAGTGAAATATTGTTACTGACCATACACATTTCATATTTGTAATAGATTTATTCACACACACACATATGTGCATAAGATGATATCAGTTAATTTTTGCCTCTTCTGTTTCTTCCACTTTTTTTTTTTTAATATTTCACTGGGAAAAGCTATTTTATTTTTATATATTCATGCAAATTCAGTTTGTCTCAGATAATATCCTTTATTTCACAATAGTCAAATTTATCTTCCTTCCACAGCTGGAATAAATGCGCAATTCCATTTTCTTTCTTTCTTTCCTCACACTGAACCAGGGGCCCCATTTCTAAGAGCAGCCAGCTCTCTCTGTGCCGCGCTGCTGGGTGGGAGGACTGCACGCAGCCCAGCAGCCCGTCTGTCATCAGCGGCACGCCCTCGCCATTGTCACGTTGCTTCTGGTTTGTGATATTAAGTTCCAAAAGCATTTGAATCATTTCAGAAATCTCTCATTTTATTCCCTTGGGCCGTTTTTTGGTTTATAACTTAAAATCATACTGTTTGGATAATTACTTCTTAAAAATACTATTGTGGCCAATACAATAAGAATTGAAGTATGCATATTTGAAAAGAAGAGATAGAATTGTCTATTTGATGAAGAAATGCATCCAGAAACCTGAATTCAAGAGGTTAAATTTAATGAGTTTGGCAAAACTTCACCACATTCTCATATGTTAACAATAGGAATAAAATATAATAAAAATGGAAACCTCTTTTTTTTAATGTGGTAAATCATTCAGGCCCTTACCACTTCTGACTGCATAGCTGCAGTTACTGGCTCATTTTTTAATCCACAGTCAGTGTGTTCTAGACACCACTATCAGACGGGTCTTTCTAAAATGCTAATCTGATTGTGGCATTTATATCCCATTTGAAATCCTGCAGTGACTCTCCGTGGTCTTCAGGGTCAAGTTTAAACTCCTTAGCTCAGTGTGTAAGGTCTTTTCCATCACTTGGGCTGCCCTGGCCTGTCTTTCTCTGTTAGGTCGCTTTTCCCTCGGGACTGCGTCATTTCCCCAGCAGTCATCCCAAGAGGGCTTCAGTTAGATGCCCCCTTCCTGTGTGTCCATGGCACCTTCTGGTCAGGGAGTCACTTCCCACGCTTCTTGGTAATTGTGTCTCCTTATTTCTTGCCCACTAGCTTCTCAGGTTCTTAAGATGAGGACTGTGTCCGTTTTTCTTCCTGTTGGCTTAACTGAGATGTAGTTGATTTGGGCCTTCCCTGGCACTTCCAGTGCAGTGGACACGGGTTCAATCCCTTGTCAGGGAACTGAGATCGCATATGCACAGTTCAGCCAAAAATGAAAAATACAGTTGATTTCACAGTATTGTGTTAGTTTCAGGTATGTAGCATAGTGATTCGTTTTGTTTTTGTTTTTTTTTACACTTTATATTCCACTTTAGGTCATTACCCGACATTGGGTCCACTTCCCTGTGCCATACAGTAAATCCTGTCACTTAACTATTTTATGTAGCTCTCAGTGGTTTGTATCTGTTAGTTTCCTGTTCCTCTGATTTGTCCATCCCCCCTCCCTCTTTCCTCTGGTAATTATAAGTTTGTTTTCTATGTCTTTGGGTCCATTTTGTGTGTACATTCATTCATATTTTTTAGATTCCATATGTAAGTGATATCATATAGTATGTGTCCTTTATGTCTTTGTGTTCTAACATAGCGATTAGTGGGACTTCATATCTTTGTTTTATATTTTGAACCTTACCTTTATTTTCAAACAAGATAAGCATTTTAAACCTCATTATTTTAATAACTGGTTTAAATTTTTTTAATAAATTGGTAAGGAAAATAAAGGGAAAATGAAGGTAGGAAATGTTAAATAAAGCCAGGGATGAAGTTGTGTGCAAAAATGTGTGCTTTTAAAGTGTTGGTGTTTGCTAGTGGTGAGCTGTACCATTGACCCTTTCCAGGCACTGATGTACAGAAGACGTGATCAGTTCCATGATTCACCGTGTTCATAACAGAAAAATAAACCCGCTGCTCAGGAAGCATAACTATTCCTGGTACTCATACCTGAAAGAAACTTCTTTTGTGGGTTCTCGTAGAGAGGAAACTAACATCATCTACATTATCTTCAAAAATCACCCTTTCAGTAAAGAAAGTAATAGGTTTCATTGAGTAGTTTCTTAGGAAATCTTTCCTTGTAGATCAAATGGCTTAGCCCCAGTAAGTGAAAGTCATTCCAAGTGGGGAGCAAAATAGATGAAATGGTAAAGGAGAAAAAAAAAGTGTGGCAGTTCTTACTGACAGTGGCCTCAAGTCTTTGTTCAGTAAAGAAAATAAATAAATCAGTGTGAAATACACCAGCTTCCAGTAAAGTCAGAGCAAAAACATGAAGTGATTCACAAAAGAGGAGGCACAGCTAATCAGTAAACAATAATTCAAGTTAAAACAAGGTGTGTGTTTTTTTACCTCCTAATAAACCCAGTTTGGGATTCGGTTTACTTATTTGAGCCATGAGCATGTTAATGTGGTAAAATTGGACTGCTTCTTAGGGAATTTATTAGGAGTTAATCCATTAAGAAATGGGTGCCACCCAGTGGGAAAGGTGTCTGGCAGCATGCTTTCCCTACCACCTGGGAATGCATTGAGGATGAGGACCGGGACCGCATGTTCATCATCTGTCCGCTCTGAGCACGTGCCCGGCGCTGTGTCAACACCCAGTAAACGCTGAATGAATGAAAAGGTTTACACACCTCCAGAGCAGCTGATTAAGTGATTCCCCTTTTTGGAAAACTCCCTAAGGTAGAGGGTTCTACATACAAACTCACAAAAAGAAACAGCTCAAATGCACAAGTTGTTCTTTGTAAAAGTGAAAAATTGAAAATAACCTAAAACTCCAAGTCTGGAGATACGTAATTGTGTGAATCTTCATAGTAGGATGTTACATAGCCATTTTTTACAGGATTGCAAAGTTTGAAATAACACAGAACTATTACTACAGTGCTGGAAGGGAATATGCCAGAATGGTAATTGGTTTGTGTGTGGGTCATAAAACCCTGGCACTTTTTGTTTGTTTTATTTGGCTGTGCTGGGTTATAGTTGTGGCACCCGGAATCTTTGATCTTTGTTGCAGCATGCCAGATCTAGTTCCCTGAGAGGGATCAAACCCTGGCCCCCTGAATTAGTAGCTCAGAGTCTTAGCCCTTGGACCACCAGGAAGTCCCAACCCTTGCGTTTTAAAAAAGTATTTCCAAACTCCAGTCACAAATGAAGTTGATTGGCTAGCGATGCACATGGGTGCCCGTGAGGCTGTGAGATGGCGAGGGATGTCATAAAATACAGTGTGTTTCCTTTGCACTGTTAGCATCAAAGTTCATCAGAGCCTCTGTATTCAGTCTCACAAAGGTCTCACCTCAACACCCATTTGTTCCATGTTTTTATAGCAGCAAGATCTACAGCCACACATTAGGAATATTCGGGCCTGGGTGTCTCCTAATTCACCCATCTTCTGCTCCTAACTCTCTACTCCTGTGGACCATATTAAGCCTAAACATCGTCAGCATCATTAGCCAACATTTACTGAGTGCTTACTGTGTACCAGACCTTATTCATGACTGTTTACATGGATATAATGAATACAGCAGTCTTGAGGGTAG